GCAGTTGGCATTGGGTTGGAAGATATGGCTCTCAGTGGGTTGGGAGATATGGCTGTCTCTAGGTTGGGGTAGTTGGTATTGGGTTGGGAGATATGGCTGTCTCTAGGTTGGGGTAGTTGGTATTGGGTTGGTAGATATGGCTCTCTGCGGGTTGGGGCAGTTGGTATTCGGTTGGTGGATATGGATCTCTGTGGGTTGGGGCAGTTGGTATTGGGTTGGAAGATATGGCTCTCTGTGGGTTGGGGCAGTTGGTATTCGGTTGGTGGATATGGCTGTCTCTAGGTTGGGGCAGTCGGTATTAGGTTGGTAGATATGGCTCTCTGCGGGTTGGGGCAGTTGGTATTCGGTTGGTGGATATGGATCTCTGTGGGTTTGGAGATATGGCTCTCTGTGGGTTGGGGTAGTTGGTATTGGGTTTGGAGATATGGCTCTCTGTGGGTTGGGGCAGTTGGTATTCGGTTGGTGGATATGGCTGTCTCTAGGTTGGGGTAGTTGGTATTGGGTTGGGAGATATGGCTCTCTGCGGGTTGGGGTAGTTGGTAGATATGACTCTTCGTTGGTTGAGAGAAATAGCTGTACGTTTGGATGGTATAAATGTTGGGGGACATTTTGGTACTGGGACGTAAGTGGTGGGAGCTTTAGTATATTCTTACTCACTAATAGAGCTCCAGTCTAGTACAGCAGTAACATTAGACACCATATGATTATATTTTAATATTATTTTAAGAAACAACACAATATTACATTCACAATATTGTCTCTGTGTGACCAGTAACAGATATATTTATAATACACGGTTAGAAATACATTAAAATAATAATACATTCTATAAAACAGTCAGCCTCTCAAATACTGTCATTATGCCCAGACAGACAGACGGTATCACTGTGCCCATATAGACAGATGGTATCACTGTGCCCATATAGACAGATGGTATCACTGTGCCGTTATAGACAGTATCACTGTGCCCATATGGACAGATGGTATCACTGTGCCCAGACAGACAGACAGATAGTATCCCTGTGCCCAGGTAACTGTTTGTGTCACTGTGCCCATATAGACAGATGGTATCACTGTGCCCATATAGACAGACGGTATAACGGTGCCCATATAGACAGATGGCATCACTGTGCCCAGACAGACAGATAGTATCCCTGTGCCCAGGTAACTGTTTGTGTCACTGTGCCCAGACAGACAGACAGTATCCCTGTGCCCAGGTAGCAGGTGGAATTATTAGATCACTCTGCCAGTGACTGGGTTATTTTGCATACATCACAGCTGATCACAGGATACATTAGATCACCATCTTCCTATCAATTCAAAGGTCCAGAGTACCAATATTCATTTCCTTGTTGTGTACAAGGCTGCTTAATATGTTGGCGCTATCTAAATGAATAGCGCTGCTATCAGTAATAGGATTCTAATTAAATCTGAATATACACAATGTTCCTGGCCAGCCTGGACTTGCTCTAATTCTCAATCTGATTAGAAGGTTTTCAGAATTAATCTGCCATGATCGTATTAACCATTTAATGTCACAAAACTCGCACCAAACCCCGACAGCCTCAACAGGTGTGATCTTCTCAACCAAGACCTGAACACCCCTAAAGTGGAATGAGGTACCCCAAAAATACATACATCACAGTATATGTTACTTCATTGCCAAGGTTTACAAAAAGCTTGTTTCATGGACTGACTTTTAAAGGACAACTGTCACCTCAAAAATATTGAAGTATGTAATGTATAAATTAGAAAACTCTCCTCCCTACAGCCACATGCATACACCGTGGGTCGGACAGCGACTGAATGTAACAGTCAGTCTCTGTGGTTTAACCGGCTTCACTCCCAACACAGAAACAGGGAGCCCACAGAGACAGACAGCATTAATCACTACAAACACACAAATGCAGGGACTCATATATAAATCGGACTGGAGAGGATCTCCATCAGAATAAATCAAATACCACCTTATTAGATCTCTCTCCCCCTTTCTTGTGCCTTCCCTAACACACACATCTTCAACTGCTCTCTCTCTCCTGGCACTGTCCCTGCTGACCTTAAACATGCCACTGTAGTACCTAGCCTGGAAAAAAAACCCATCTCTTGACCCATCCTCCCACTCTAACTATCATCCCATATACCTGCTCCCTTTTTCCTCAAAGCTTCTGGAAAGACTTGTCTTTGCCTGTGTGTCTCACTTCCTCAATTCCAACTCTCTCCTTGACCCTCTTCAGTTTGGCTTCCGCCCCCTCCACTCTACTGAGACTGCTCTTATCAAAGTTACTAACAACCTAATCGCAGCTAAATCCAAAGGCCACTACTCCATACTAATTCTTCTTGACCTCTCTGCTGCCTTTGACACCGTTGATCATGCTCTACTCCTTCAAACTCTTCAATCACTCGGTCTCTGTGACTGTTCTCTCATGGTTTTCCTCTTATCTCTCCCAACGCTCATTCGGTGTCTCCTTTTCCATGGATACCTCCTCCCCTTGTCCTGTCTGGGTTGGTGTTCCCCTAGGCTCTGTCCTTGGCCCCCTTCTATTTTTTCTTTATACTGCCTCTCTTGGCAAACTTATTACCTCTTTTGGATTCCACTACCACCTGAACGCTGATGATACCCAGTTATCTCTCCTCCCCGGACCTCTCCCCTGCTGTCCTGCAACGTGTCACTGTTTGCCTTTCTTCTATCTCTGATGGATGTCCTCCCACTTTCTGAAACTGAATCTTTCCAAAACAGAACTTCTTGTCTTTCCTCCTCCTAATTCTGATCCTCCTCTCTCGCTCTCCCTTCAGATTGGTGGTACCCATATCAGCCCATCCTTACAAGCACGTTGTCTTGGTGAATGATCTTAGAACATATGAAGTATGATGGAACTGTCTGCATGACCTACATATGTGATCCCATAACCCCCTCACAAGGGCAAATTGATACTTTTAATTTCAATCAGGAACAGGGACAATTTATAGGGATGTGTTTAGCCTTCTCACTGTTGAGCGAATACTAGACTTTATCAGTAATATTTTTGGGAATATATCAACAGCATTGATTTGTCGACAATATTGCTAAAAATAGGCTCAGCTAATGAAATCCCTTTTGCAATGTTAAAGGGACACTATAGTACCCTGAGGGTGCCCCCACCGGCGCTGAAGGGGTTAAAACCCATTTAGCTACTCACCCTTTTCCCCCGCCGGGCTCCCTCACCTCTCCTCCCCCACCGACGTCAGCATCCTTTTCAATGCTTTCCTATGGACGCTCTGCGTGATTGAGGCATAATATGCCTCAATCATTGCCGATGCGTCTCTTAACCCCAGAAAACTCAGAAACTGCTGTTTACATCAGGCAGAGTTAACCCTGGAGGGACCTGACACCTAGACCACTTCATTGAGCTGAAGTGGTCTGGATGACTATAGTGTCCCTTTAAGCATAGAGCTGATTCTCTAATATACTTCCTAAATGGTTAAATTGGTCACGTCTCCCATGATATTTTATCTTCTCCTGTTTTAACTCCCCCCAACCCATTCTCCCTCCCAGCGATACATATTAATGGCTTCCATTCTGATATATTTAGATTTTACCGTATCCCCTGAATCCATTCTCCCTCCCAGCGATACATATTAATGGCTCCATTCTGATATATTTAGATTTTACCGTATCCCCTGAATCCATTCTCCCTCCGAGCGATACATATTAATGGCTTCCATTCTGATATATTTAGATTTTACCGTATCCCCTGAACCCATTCTCCCTCCCAGCGATACATATTAATGGCTTCCATTCTGATATATTTAGATTTTACCGTATCCCCTGAATCCATTCTCCCTCCCAGCGATACATATTAATGGCTTCCATTCTGATATATTTAATCGTATCCCCTTAATCCATTCTCCCTCCCAGCGATACATATTAATGGCTTCCATTCTGATATATTTAGATTTTACCGTATCCCCTGAATCCATTCTCCCTCCCAGTGATACATATTAATGGCTTCCATTCTGATATATTTATATTTTACCGTATCCCCTGAATCCATTCTCCCTCCCAGCGATACATATTAATGGCTTCCATTCTGTATATTTATATTTTAAATATAGGGTCAGTTCCTCCCTCCCAGCGGTACATGTGGGGCTTCCATTCTGTATATTTATATTTTGCCATATCACCCTGGATTTCATTCTCCCCTCCCAGCGATACATATTAATGGCTTCCATTCTGATATATTTAGATTTTACCGTATCCCCTGAATCCATTCTCCCTCCCAGGGATACATATTAATGGCTTCCATTCTGATATATTTAATCGTATCCCCTTAATCCATTCTCCCTCCCAGCGATACATATTAATGGCTTCCATTCTGATATATTTAGATTTTACCGTATCCCCTGAATCCATTCTCCCTCCCAGTGATACATATTAATGGCTTCCATTCTGATATATTTATATTTTACCGTATCCCCTGAATCCATTCTCCCTCCCAGCGATACATATTAATGGCTTCCATTCTGTATATTTATATTTTACCGTATCCCCTGAATCCATTCTCCCTCCCAGCGATACATATTAATGGCTTCCATTCTGATATATTTAGATTTTACCGTATCCCCTGAATTCATTCTCCCTCCCAGCGATACATATTAATGGCTTCCATTCTGATATATTTAGATTTTACCGTATCCCCTGAATCCATTCTCCCTCCCAGCGATACATATTAAGGGCTTCCATTCTGATATATTTCGATTTTACCATATCACCCCTGAATCCATTCTCCCTCCCAGCGATACATATTAATGGCTTCCATTCTGATATATTTAGATTTTACCGTATCCCCTGAATCCATTCTCACTCTGATACATATTAATGGCTTCCATTCTGATATGTTAATGCGTATCCCTGAATCCATTCTCCTCCCAGCGTGCATATTAGCTTCCATTCGTATATTTATATTTTTACCGTATCCCCTGAATCCGGCCTCCAGCGATACATATTAATATTTCCATTCTGATATATTTAGATTTTACCGTATCCCCTGAATCCATTCTCCCTCCGAGCGATACATATTAATGGCTTCCATTCTGTATATTTAGATTTTACCGTATCCCCTGAATCCATTCTCCCTCCCAGCGATACATATTAATGGCTTCCATTCTGTATATTTATATTTTACCGTATCCCCTGAATCCATTCTCCCTCCCAGCGATACATATTAAGGGCTTCCATTCTGTATATTTATATTTTACCATATCACCCCTGAATTCATTCTCCCTCCCAGCGATACATATTAAGGGCTTCCATTCTGATATATTTAGATTTTACCATATCACCCCTGAATCCATTCTCCCTCCCAGCGATACATATTAAGGGCTTCCATTCTGATATATTTATATTTTACCGTATCCCCTGAATCCATTCTCCCTCCCAGCGATACATATTAAGGGCTTCCATTCTGATATATTTAGTTTTACCGTATCCCCTGAATCCATTCTCCCTCCCAGCGATACATATTAAGGGCTTCCATTCTGATATATTTAGATTTTACCGTATCCCCTGAATCCATTCTCCCTCCGAGCGATACATATTAATGGCTTCCATTCTGTATATTTATATTTTACCGTATCCCCTGAATCCATTCTCCCTCCCAGCGATACATATTAATGGCTTCCATTCTGATATATTTATATTTTACCATATCACCCCTGAATTCATTCTCCCTCCCAGCGATACATATTAATGGCTTCCATTCTGATATATTTAGATTTTACCGTATCCCCTGAATCCATTCTCCCTCCCAGCGATACATATTAATGGCTTCCATTCTGATATATTTCGATTTTACCGTATCCCCTGAATCCATTCTCCCTCCCAGCGATACATATTAAGGGCTTCCATTCTGTATATTTATATTTTACCGTATCCCCTGAATCCATTCTCCCTCCCAGCGATACATATTAATGGCTTCCATTCTGTATATTTATATTTTACCGTATCCCCTGAATCCATTCTCCCTCCCAGCGATACATATTAAGGGCTTCCATTCTGTATATTTATATTTTACCATATCACCCCTGAATTCATTCTCCCTCCCAGCGATACATATTAAGGGCTTCCATTCTGATATATTTAGATTTTACCATATCACCCCTGAATCCATTCTCCCTCCCAGCGATACATATTAAGGGCTTCCATTCTGATATATTTATATTTTACCGTATCCCCTGAATCCATTCTCCCTCCCAGCGATACATATTAAGGGCTTCCATTCTGATATATTTAGATTTTACCGTATCCCCTGAATCCATTCTCCCTCCCAGCGATACATATTAAGGGCTTCCATTCTGATATATTTAGATTTTACCGTATCCCCTGAATCCATTCTCCCTCCGAGCGATACATATTAATGGCTTCCATTCTGTATATTTATATTTTACCGTATCCCCTGAATCCATTCTCCCTCCCAGCGATACATATTAATGGCTTCCATTCTGATATATTTATATTTTACCATATCACCCCTGAATTCATTCTCCCTCCCAGCGATACATATTAAGGGCTTCCATTCTGATATATTTAGATTTTACCGTATCCCCTGAATCCATTCTCCCTCCCAGCGATACATATTAATGGCTTCCATTCTGATATATTTAGATTTTACCGTATCCCCTGAATCCATTCTCCCTCCGAGCGATACATATTAATGGCTTCCATTCTGTATATTTATATTTTACCGTATCCCCTGAATCCATTCTCCCTCCCAGCGATACATATTAATGGCTTCCATTCTGATATATTTATATTTTACCATATCACCCCTGAATTCATTCTCCCTCCCAGCGATACATATTAAGGGCTTCCATTCTGATATATTTAGATTTTACCGTATCCCCTGAATCCATTCTCCCTCCCAGCGATACATATTAATGGCTTCCATTCTGATATATTTAGATTTTACCGTATCCCCTGAATCCATTCTCCCTCCGAGCGATACATATTAATGGCTTCCATTCTGATATATTTAGATTTTACCGTATCCCCTGAATCCATTCTCCCTCCGAGCGATACATATTAATGGCTTCCATTCTGATATATTTAGATTTTACCATATCACCCCTGAATCCATTCTCCCTCCCAGCGATACATATTAATGGCTTCCATTCTGATATATTTAGATTTTACCGTATCCCCTGAATCCATTCTCCCTCCAGCGATACATATTAATGGCTTCCATTCTGTATATTTAGATTTTACCGTATCCCCTGAATCCATTCTCCCTCCCAGCGATACATATTAATGGCTTCCATTCTGATATATTTAGATTTTACCGTATCCCCTGAATCCATTCTCCCTCCCAGCGATACATATTAAGGGCTTCCATTCTGTATATTTATATTTTACCATATCACCCCTGAATTCATTCTCCCTCCCAGCGATACATATTAAGGGCTTCCATTCTGATATATTTAGATTTTACCATATCACCCCTGAATCCATTCTCCCTCCCAGCGATACATATTAAGGGCTTCCATTCTGATATATTTATATTTTACCGTATCCCCTGAATCCATTCTCCCTCCCAGCGATACATATTAAGGGCTTCCATTCTGATATATTTAGTTTTACCGTATCCCCTGAATCCATTCTCCCTCCCAGCGATACATATTAAGGGCTTCCATTCTGATATATTTAGATTTTACCGTATCCCCTGAATCCATTCTCCCTCCCAGTGATACATATTAATGGCTTCCATTCTGATATATTTAGATTTTACCGTATCCCCTGAATCCATTCTCCCTCCCAGCGATACATATTAATGGCTTCCATTCTGATATATTTAGATTTTACCGTATCCCCTGAATCCATTCTCCCTCTCAGAGATACATATTAATGGCTTCCATTCTGATATATTTAGATTTTACCGTATCCCCTGAATCCATTCTCCCTCCCAGCGATACATATTAAGGGCTTCCATTCTGATATATTTAATCGTATCCCCTGAATCCATTCTCCCTCCCAGCGATACATATTAATGGCTTCCATTCTGTATATTTATATTTTACCGTATCCCCTGAATCCATTCTCCCTCCCAGCGATACATATTAATGGCTTCCATTCTGATATATTTAGATTTTACCGTATCCCCTGAATCCATTCTCCCTCCGAGCGATACATATTAATGGCTTCCATTCTGATATATTTAGATTTTACCGTATCCCCTGAATCCATTCTCCCTCCGAGCGATACATATTAATGGCTTCCATTCTGATATATTTAGATTTTACCGTATCCCCTGAATCCATTCTCCCTCCCAGCGATACATATTAATGGCTTCCATTCTGTATATTTATATTTTACCGTATCCCCTGAATCCATTCTCCCTCCCAGCGATACATATTAAGGGCTTCCATTCTGTATATTTATATTTTACCATATCACCCCTGAATTCATTCTCCCTCCCAGCGATACATATTAAGGGCTTCCATTCTGATATATTTAGATTTTACCATATCACCCCTGAATCCATTCTCCCTCCCAGCGATACATATTAAGGGCTTCCATTCTGATATATTTATATTTTACCGTATCCCCTGAATCCATTCTCCCTCCCAGCGATACATATTAAGGGCTTCCATTCTGATATATTTAGTTTTACCGTATCCCCTGAATCCATTCTCCCTCCCAGCGATACATATTAAGGGCTTCCATTCTGATATATTTAGATTTTACCGTATCCCCTGAATCCATTCTCCCTCCGAGCGATACATATTAATGGCTTCCATTCTGTATATTTATATTTTACCGTATCCCCTGAATCCATTCTCCCTCCCAGCGATACATATTAATGGCTTCCATTCTGATATATTTATATTTTACCATATCACCCCTGAATTCATTCTCCCTCCCAGCGATACATATTAAGGGCTTCCATTCTGATATATTTAGATTTTACCGTATCCCCTGAATCCATTCTCCCTCCCAGCGATACATATTAATGGCTTCCATTCTGATATATTTAGATTTTACCGTATCCCCTGAATCCATTCTCCCTCCCAGCGATACATATTAATGGCTTCCATTCTGATATATTTAGATTTTACCGTATCCCCTGAATCCATTCTCCCTCCCAGCGATACATATTAATGGCTTCCATTCTGTATATTTAGATTTTACCGTATCCCCTGAATCCATTCTCCCTCCCAGCGATACATATTAATGGCTTCCATTCTGATATATTTAGATTTTACCGTATCCCCTGAATCCATTCTCCCTCCCAGCGATACATATTAATGGCTTCCATTCTGATATATTTAGATTTTACCATATCACCCCTGAATCCATTCTCCCTCCCAGCGATACATATTAATGGCTTCCATTCTGATATATTTAGATTTTACCATATCACCCCTGAATCCCCTCTGACGAGCTTTGGTGAAACGCGCGCGTCAGGGGATCTTTGGCGCTACTTTACCGCCATCTATTTATCATATTTCTTTACACTTTGTATTTAGTGTCTCATTTAGGACAGTATTAGGGGGTGTTAGTCCTGGTGCCCATGAAGGCACATGGGGGGTTTCTAGCCTTAGGACTATTTTTGTTGCACGTCATCATGTTCCGTGATTAACTTACTGCTATTTTAACATCTTAGCAGTAGCTTTTTACCTAGCTAAGGTCTTTTGTCAGAACACTTTTTTATTACAATTTACCACCTAGGAAAAGTTACAACGTATTATCTAGCACTATAGTTCTGTAGCAACTTTGTATCAGCTTTGCCTAGAGCATATTGCTTACTACTCCAGCATGCTATTTTCATAACTGAGTGCAGAACTTGGTGCCGTACTCTATATTCAAGCTAAGTTCTGCATTGTCAGGACAATTACTGTTTCTTTAGCTTATGGGGCAGGCATTTTTATTAGTTATTCGGTACCTGATATACTCTAACTAACATTATACTTACGGCTATTTGGCAGTCCACTTCTATATTATTACTGTTCTGGTTAGACTTTAGCATTATTTTACTACACAGGCATCTTCCCTGTTCACTTACGATCTACATATATATTTTTTCAGCTGTTAGTTACCTACAGCAATATTTATAGAATTGGATTAATTCTATATTTTTTTGAGTTATCATACTATTACCTTTGGCGTTCTCCCCTCCGCCCCCTTCTCTTTTTCACTTTGCACAGACGTGTGCAGTGTGTGACATTTTTGCAATTTGAGACATCAGAATATATCTTTACACCATGGGATATTATTTCGATTGATTTTAACTAGCTTACCGGTGTTCCATTCTATATATCTATACTTTTTATTACGTATATTCAATAAAGTTATTTGTTATTTTCATTTTATTTTTATTATTTCTTTCATCTTATTAGTGATTAAACTGTACTCTATTTGCACAGTTTTCACTTAGTGATAGTTCCTTTTCTTGCCTGGTTTTGTATTGATAGGTACTCTCTTCATTTCTTTCTGATTCCTATTTCCTCTAGGGGTTACCCCCCTGTTTAGAGTGTACCTAGGCTGTACTTCAATTTATTTATTAATGGCTTCCATTCTGATATATTTAGATTTTACCGTATCCCCTGAATCCATTCTCCATCCCAGAGATACATATTAAGGGCTTCCATTCTGATATATTTAATCGTATCCCCTGAATTCATTCTCCCTCCCAGCGATACATATTAATGGCTTCCATTCTGATATATTTCGATTTTACCATATCACCCCTGAATCCATTCTCCCTCCCAGCGATACATATTAATGGCTTCCATTCTGATATATTTAGATTTTACCGTATCCCCTGAATCCATTCTCCCTCCCAGGGATACATATTAATGGCTTCCATTCTGATATATTTAATCGTATCCCCTGAATCCATTCTCCCTCCGAGCGATACATATTAAGGGCTTCCATTCTGATATATTTATATTTTACCGTATCCCCTGAATCCATTCTCCCTCCCAGCGATACATATTAATGGCTTCCATTCTGATATATTTATATTTTACCGTATCCCCTGAATTCATTCTCCCTCCCAGCGATACATATTAATGGCTTCCATTCTGTATATTTATATTTTACCGTATCCCCTGAATCCATTCTCCCTCTCAGAGATACATATTAATGGCTTCCATTCTGATATATTTATATTTTACCGTATCCCCTGAATCCATTCTCCCTCCCAGGGATACATATTAATGGCTTCCATTCTGATATATTTAATCGTATCCCCTGAATTCATTTTCCCTCCCAGCGATACATATTAATGGCTTCCATTCTGTATATTTATATTATACTTTAAAATACTGTATAATGTACTCCATTCTTCCCTCCCAGCGATACAGTCTGATGAGATTTCATGCGCAGTCACATGATGCTTGATCGCTGGAGGGAGGATTTGCGGTGACTGCTCCGGCTGACCAGCATGACTTGGGTTAACATGGTTGTGCCGTTGCTCACAGTTGAGTTTTTATGTTGCCTCAGCCAGAAATATTTCCTCAGATGCCATCTTCGCCACTTACGCTGGATCTCAAACTGAACCTGGGCAAACAGAGACATTGCCAGTTACACTTGCTATACTCTGCCTGAATGTGTGAAAGACGGGGTTAAAAGCTTAAAACGCAGTTATATATTACCAAATAGCAATAGCTGAAAATTATGTAAAAAGTCATAGAGAATAAACAAAAAAAGAAACAAATGCCATTCTACCTGTGTATGATTTACTGAGAAGATTGTAGATTAAAAAGTAACTTTTAATAAATAAATCTAAAATAAGAATATAAAAAAAAAGAAAAATAATATGAACAGCAGGAGTAAATGGAGACTATACAGCGACTAAAACTCTTGAAGTTTTCACAATTCACAAAAACAATCCACCAGGAAGACCAATAATTTCGGGTAATAACTCGCTCACAGAACAAGCGAGCAAATTCATGGAGAAAATACTCCACCCATTTGTAAGTGATCTTCCATCTTATATTCAGGACACCAAACAGACATTACTCACTCTTGGTAATCTCACTGTCCCCCCATACACTCTTCTAGCAAGCATGGATGTAGTCTCTTTATACAATAACATCCCTCACAAAGTAGGCCTTGAAGCCACCCAATATTTTTTAGAAAAATCATCCAAAATTACAGCGTCCCAAAAGGATTTCCTTATGGAACTATTGAACTTTATACTAACTCACAATTATTTTGTGTTCAACGGCACCTACTACCTGCAAACTAGGGGCACGGCCATGGGAAGTGCTTGTGCCCCTAGTTACGCTAATCTGTATTTAGGGTGGTGGGAAGCCACAATTTTGAAAAATACGTTACAGACAGGATTTGATAAATTCATCATTAGTTGGCATCGTTACATTGATGATGTCCTGGTATTTTGGACTGGCTCAGTAATACAGTTCGAGGAACTTGTCTCGATACTGAACATCAACACTATTGGCCTACAATTAACTCATGTCATCAGTGAGGACAGACTAGAATTTCTGGATTTGGTTATTAATCTATCTCAAGGGGGTGAAGTAGATACCGAACTTTACAGAAAACCTACTTCGTGCAACAATTTCTTACATTGGAACAGCCATCACCCTTACAAACTCAAGGCAGGTATTCCCTACGGGCAATACCTGAGGGCAAAAAGAAACTGCTCGAAAGAAGAAACCTTTATAAAAGAAGCTAAGAACCTAAGGCTTCGCTTCAAACAGCAAGGCTATTAAAATAAAATCCTTAAAAAGGCATTCCAACGAGTCTCCAGTATGGACAGATCGACTAGTCTCAGAAATTACAAAGTGAAGGTTACTAAACCTACAATTAGATGCATAGGCACTTATGATCAACTATGGAATCCCATTCGAAAAATCTATGCAGACAATTGGCCGATACTCACCCACAATAAAGAGGTGGCCAGTAATCTTTATATATTCCCAAGTATCACAGCAAGACGAGCTAATAATCTGCGTGACCTGCTAGTTCATAGTCATCTTGAACCAAAACAATCACCTAAGACATGGCTACAAGAAACAAAGGGAATCTTTAGATGTGGGAAATGTAAGGCATGTAGGTTTATTAAACCTTCAAAATCAGTCCTATGCACCAATACGCAGAAAACATATCCGATTAATGATTTTAATTGCAGCACCACAAAAGTAGTTTACATCATTACTTGTAGCTGTAAACTACAATATATAGGAAAAACCTTCCAAGAATTGAGAAGGAGAATCCTACAACATGTGAATTCAGTCTCAAACCTAAACATTTCCACTCCCGTCTCCAATCACATAAGGAACTTCCATAACTCGGATGCATCTCATCTTACAAAAATAACGAAAGGTGAAGCGCTACATACAAGTTGAAGTCCAATTGTTTTAACTGTCGTTCTTGTCGATCAGTATTTTCTTAGTGGTATATGGATCTTATTCTAAAGAGAAAATTAGAATATACTTAGTGCAACACTGTAAAAAATACTTTTGACACAATGTAAACTCTATTTATGGAACCACTCACATATTACTGAGCTTACGACCAAGCTCAGGGGTATACACCTTCAGGTCCGTAAAGGCGACCTTTCACCTTCTTTCATCCAAATGACAAATTCCCTGTTGCGGCTAGGGCTCAAGCAGAGATATATATGGTGCAATATAGTTTCAAATCCGTTTATAAAGTAAGAAAATATGTATATATACTCACAAGTCTGGAGCCATCCTCTTAGGCTCTTTTCCAAAGCGTTGTGTAGTTTAGGACTACACACCTAATAGCAGGAACCGATATCCCAGTATGAATAACACAAAAATATGTTTATTGTATTTAAAATTCTAATGGCCAATTAGAATCAATAAAAACAAAATATGATGAATATACAGTAATATACAGTAATATAAAAATCTGGGCATAAAGGTAGTATAAAACAATCCCCAGACCTGGGGATTGTTTTATACTACCTTTATGCCCAGATTTTTATATTACTGTATATTACTGTATATTCATCATATTTTGTTTTTATTGATTCTAATTGGCCATTAGAATTTTAAATACAATAAACATATTTTTGTGTTATTCATACTGGGATATCGGTTCCTGCTATTAGGTGTGTAGTCCTAAACTACACAACGCTTTGGAAAAGAGCCTAAGAGGATGGCTCCAGACTTGTGAGTATATATACATATTTTCTTACTTTATAAACGGATTTGAAACTATATTGCACCATATATATCTCTGCTTGAGCCCTAGCCGCAACAGGGAATTTGTCATTTGGATGAAAGAAGGTGAAAGGTCGCCTTTACGGACCTGAAGGTGTATACCCCTGAGCTTGGTCGTAAGCTCAGTAATATGTGAGTGGTTCCATAAATAGAGTTTACATTGTGTCAAAAGTATTTTTTACAGTGTTGCACTAAGTATATTCTAATTTTCTCTTTAGAATAAGATCCATATACCACTAAGAAAATACTGATCGACAAGAACGACAGTTAAAACAATTGGACTTCAACTTGTATGTAGCGCTTCACCTTTCGTTATTTTTGTTCTGTGGTTGGTGTATATGGAAAGACTACACGTGGTGATATAGCAGCTAATAGCATAGTTATATACTGTGAAATTATTGTATAGCGCCAGTATATTATTCTTTTGTATTTGCATCTCATCTTACGTTTCAGGTTTTAGAACGTATCCACCTGAACACTAGAAAGGGTAATTTTAATCTCACCCTATTAAGGAAAGAATCCAGATGGATACGTGAATGTAAGACCTTATTTCCCTTAGGACTAAATGAAGAATTTAATTTTACCCCCTTTATTCACAAATAAATGCATAATTATTATCAATATTAATTTAGGTCTATTACAAACATTCTCTTTCCTAAAATCTTAAAATCCTAAAAACTTTCATTAATGTTACATTTTAGCCAACAAGTTTAGGAATCTACTAATATATTCTGCACTAATTAGTAAACAGTTTAGCAGATAAACGTTGCTATGTTCGTTCAACTATGTCACTATTGTTAATCACATATAAGTTAAAATAATGACATTATTGTCATTTTGAGAATTACTGTTACTTACACTTTTCCACCTTTTCTTTTCTTTTTTATAATCAATCTTTTTAACATTCAGTAAAAAATAAAATATAAAAAAACCATAAGATTCAGGTCAACATAGGGTTAATTAGTCAATTATTTCTTAATAGTTGAGATTCCCTCCCCAAGCTACCATTGGTCAGAATCCTGAAAATCCTCCAATCAATTGAGAGCTTATGATTTAAATGCTCCTATGTTTGCCAGCATCTGGTTCCCCTCTGATGAGCTTCACTGGCGAAACGTGCACGTCAGGGGCTCTGGACACTTACTGACACATTATTGGTGTCGGCACCTAACTCTCTGCTTATCTATTGCTATATTACCGACATCAAGTTCATTCATGTCCAGCATTTCAGGAGTGCATATTGGAGACTCTTAACACTAATTTTGTGTACTCTGTACATACTTTATTTCTCTTTCTTTTTCCTTTATTATGTGTATGGGGGGAGATTGATAAGACCAGGCATTTTATTAAGGGGTGCCCTCGAAGGCACAAGACTCAGGAATCTTTATTCTATACGCCTTCCTCTGTCACTGTCTGTATATTTTCTACTACCTAGGCAACCTGTTCAAAACTGTTTGTAAACCCTCTCTTTATACTTTGACCTATTATTTAGATGCAGCTAGCATTTAGGCAACTTGTGTGATTTTTAACCGGTTAACTGCTGCCTGTCAGCAGTCCTTCACAGGTGAGCTACTACTTTGTGCTCCGCTGTGGTCAAGCATAAGTTAACATCATTCAGTGCAGGCAGCTGTTGTTACACTAGAATATACTGCTAGGTATCTTGCAGGAAAAAAACGGAGCCAGGTCAGCAACCCCTTATTTTACACTTTACTGCTTGACAGCAATCTTTAATTTATTATTAAAATGCTGCTATGATCTAGGCAGCTTTTGTGATATTTAACTGGCTAATCGCCGCCTGCCAGAAATCTGTCTTAGCTGAACCATTATCTTTGATCTTTCTGAGGTTAAGCACCATAGAACATTATCAATTATTGTATGTGGAGTTAACCCATGTTGTTAGTTGTACTATCTTGTAGGGATTTACTTATCCATATCTTTTAACTATTGACAGCACTGGTTTAGCAGCTGTCTTATCTCCCCCCCTCTTGTTACAGCTATTAGTGATATATAATACAGTATCACTTCTATTACTTGGGAATACACTGATGTTATGTTGTAGCTAAACAGTATTGCTTCAGCATTAGTGTTATTACGTATACACTTTTACAGCTTGTATAAGTAGTCACAGAGTTTTACTCGCTGTATAGTCTCCATTTACTCCTGCTGTTCATATTATTTTTCTTTTTTTTATATTCTTATTTTAGATTTATTTATTAAAAGTTACTTTTTAATCTACAATCTTCTCAGTAAATCATACACAGGTAGAATGGCATTTGTTTCTTTTTTTGTTTATTCTCTATGATATTCACCATTTAGGGGTTACCCCCCTTTTTTGTGCCCTCTACCTTGTGATATCTAAATTTTGGCCCTAGGTTAATTCTTTTTGTTTTCCTCGTATAATTATGTAAAAAGTCCAATCGGATCAAGTCCACAATGTTTAGTCTCCACTATTCTTGTTTCTAGTATAGTTGGGCTTCACTCTATCGGTACATACAAAAAAAAGCAGAGAGAAAAAAAACAATGGTGCAGATTTAATCTACATTTTATAACTTTTGTGAATGTTCACTCACATTCAGAAGAGCTTCAAATTAGCTCAGATCTTAATAGCATGCAATATAATGAGTAGATATGTATCTTTGGTAAGTGACATCCAGTAGTGACTAATAGTGCACAAATGGTATGTTTCTCAAAAAAAACAATAGTGTAATACTGTAAATGTGTTAAAAAGGAATGAAGGAGCTTTCAACATGAGCTCAATGTATTGGGGAAAATGGTAACATAATCCCTACCTATGGATATCTTTAGATTCTGTGATCTTTAGTATTGATAGTACATGTAATGGATAATAGTGCTCTCCATATGAATAGAAAGTGCCAGGAATATTAAAAGAAACATACTCACACTTTTTGAGCAGTGTGGTCTGTAGATACAAATATCCATCTCACTATCTATCCTAGCTGTTGATATAAGGGTTAATTTAAACTTAAAATTGTATCTTCGATTCTGGGAAGAATTTATCTAATATCATTTACGAGAATGACCATACTGATTTCCAAATGTTCTTGTTAATTGTCCAAGATTTTGATATTTGTAAATATCTGGTTTTTATCAAATATACGTGCGTTATATAATGTAGGATAACGAGAAACAGCTGCTCATAACTTGTGAAAAACAATCTATGTCATTGTTATCATTGTCACGCCCATATGCTCATTTATTCCCCTCCCATCCTGCTATGAAAAAGGGGTATAAATATAACTGACATATAATAAAATTTGAATTGGCTATTGAACAAATCTCTGCTATTCGTTTCCAATTTTCAGAGCTCTGAATGAGTTGGCAAATATCCATCATCCACAAAGGGCCCGGGCTGATTTTATCCCCAACATGGTCTGCTCAGATTTTTCTATCAGAGAGAGAGAGAGAGATGGAAGCAACCCTGTCAAAGACAAGTTTTAATAGTTTTCTCAGTGTGGCGGAACCAGCCTCACCACTGGGCATTGGAGAAGACTGATTGCCAGCCTCCTGCCATGTGACTATGGCCCCTAGGATGTATTGCCCTTTAAGAAATGTATTTGGGCTTATTGCATTTTGAAACACTTTTTCTGCCCCTTTAAATACATGGGAAGGTGTGCCCTTCCCCCGTTTCCTGTCTATTGTTCCAGCAGGACGTTGTCTCAGGGACACTGCCAGACCAGGTGGAACTTGCTGTTTTGCCCCTCCTCTGTCTCTCATCAGCCCTTGCTATGGTTTAACCCCATGACGATTTGACTGTGTTTGTGGGATCCGAGTGCTGTTTGGATATATTGAGTGCTCAGATCCAAGCTATCTGTTCAGTATGATAGGAGTTATGTATTTTTGGGTATTTTTGCTGTTGTGAATAGAGATATTTTATGTACCTGGAGATAGTTGGCTTACCACACCTAGTTAAGCCAATTATCTCCAGGAGAGGACTCTGTGGAACTGGTTTGGGCTGGAAAATTGCTGGGAGTGTCTGAGTGTATTGTACGTATTGATTGGTTGTTTTGCAAAACCCTGTGGGCAGTACTATGTGTGTAAAATGTGCATAAAAGCATAAGTTTAATTAAAAGTTCAGTTCTACTTCACCCTCAGTTTTGAGTGCCATCTCTTATTGGGGGAATCTGCTACAAGGGATTGCTATGCTTGTCCGATACATTGAGCTCGTGTTGAAAGCTCCTTCCTTGTAAGTGTAAAATTTACCCTTTCTCACTTTTTAAACACATTTACAGTATTACACTAATTTTTTTTTTTGAGAAACATACCATTTGTGCACTGTTAGTCACTACTGGATGTCACTTACCAAAGATACATATCTACTCATTATATTGCATGCTATTAAGATCTGAGCTAATTTGAAGCTCTTCTAAATGAGACATTCACATGAGTTATACAATGTAGATTCCCCTGTTTAAATCTGCACCATTGTTTTTTATCTCTGTTTTTTTGTATGTACCTATGGAGTGATGTCCAACTATACTAGAAACAAGAATAGTGGAGACTAAACATTGTGGACTTTATCTGGTTGCACTTTTTTCATATATCTATTGCTATCTTTTCGTTTGTCTGTATGTATCAGGGGTCAAAGGGAATCCCCCGGTTTATCGAGTTTGCAGCCATATTTACCCACCACAGATTGCATTGCGCTTATCAATATTTGTCTTTATTGATTCCTTCTCAGTTATATATCGCGCATTCTGTATTCATCTATAGTCTAAGTACTATAACCACTTCGCATTACTGAAAATAGCTAGGTGCTTACAGTGCATGGAGCCCACAATCAATGAGCTATAGCAGCAGCAATTTGTAAAAATCACACAGATATCAGGGCTGCCAACACTTACTGAGTTATTTACTGGAGTGACAATTGTCAGGAATTGATTGATTCAAATGCCAAACAGTATAGGAAATATCCATTGCTGAAATACTGGTATATTTTTCATTGTTTGCTGGGGGGCTTGTTACACCCCCAGTACATGTGGTATTGGCAGCCCCAAACTCTGTTCCGGATTGCCTAATGTAAATTCTGTGCATTTAAACTGTCTGTCGTCAGCACGCACTGTATCCCATCCCTCACTCCTACCTCATTAACTGTATCTACCTCCCAATCAAATGTGATATGTGCTCCCCCTTCCCGGGTCATATTGCGCGCCTGCAGGTTAAATGGTAAATCAAAGGTTCCTCTGTGATGTCAGATGGGGTGTGCCGACCAGCACCAGGAGAAGCACACGATATGGCATTATCCACAGGTTTAAATAAAGGTTTGGGGGAATCCTTTATGTTATATTGATATGAGGAGGTAATTTTTTCGCACTAGCACAGACAAACATTCAATCGTGGAAGTGCTTCTTTCCTGTGTCTTTTATTTCAGTTTAGGAAATAGGGCGTACTTTAAAACAGACAAAGTTATGGAAATGGTTAAAGGAAGAGGATCTGAGAATAATTCTAGAGGACAGTTTAACCTTGATCAATGTCAGTCTGCAGCAAAACAAGCCAGCAAGATACAGTACGTTTTAACTCCCAGGATGGAAAGATCATATTGTCTTTTTTTTTTCCTAACAAAGGTATAAAAACGTGGTGTGACATTTTGGGGTAAATTTTCAAATAATTCTCTTACCTCTCCATTAAGGAAGCAGTACAGCACAGCCACCACGAAACCCTGCGAAAACAGCACACAGTAACACAGCAACGCAGAGAAACTATGAGAAAATCATTGAACTGTAACCTGGAACAGAGGCGGCTCTAGACTTTGAGTCCCTAGGCGAAATTCAAGCATGAGGCCCCACTAACACCCAAAGTATAAAATAATAGGGCTGTATTTTGTGTGAGTGTAAGGAGCAGTCGCTATATTGAAAGGCGGACTTGCAGCGCTGGATACAGAGTCAGTCTCTGCATTCATTGTTCAGAAGCTCGCAGTGTCACGGCTTCCTGTGCCCCTGCATTGTGAGCTCTCTGGTTGTAGCTATAGCTTAATTTGCAGTTATGCCACAATTGTGGAGTATGGTTGCATAGCTTGCCAGTCGTGTATACATAAGTACAGGTGTGAAGGGGTTATCAAAAACAAAAATGAACATTTTGTTTGAGCAAAAAAGCTTTTAAAAAATAATTTACCAAATAATAAAGTATGTATGATGTATCTCTTCAGCTGGTGACTGTGACAGTGTAAGTAAAGGGTACCAGTGGCAGGGAAAGTGTGACAGGACGAAGGAGGCAAATGGGACAGGGTGGGGGTTGTGAGAGAGAATGAGGGAGGGCAAGTATGACATGGTTTGATAAGGTAGTGTGACAGGGCGAGTGGAGGTAAATGTGTCAGGGCAATAGTGGCATGGTAGGAGGGATGAGTGTAACAGGATTGGAGGGGTTAATGTGACAGGGTAAGTGTGGCATAGTTGGGGTGAAGGGTGAATGTAGCATGGTTGGAGGAGGAAGTGTGACAGGATTAAGGGGTGTTACTGTGACAGGGTGAGTGTGGCAGAGTGTGACAGTATTAGAGGCATTAATGTGACAGGATAAGTGTGGGAGGGTTCGGGGAGAGTGTGACAAGGTGAGTGTGATTGAATTAGGGTGGTTAATTTGACAGGGTGAGTGTGGTAGAGCAAGGGCAAATGAGAGTGTGGCAGGATTAGGAGTGGTTAATGTAAGTGTGGATGCATGAAGGGACTGAAAGTGTGGGGGTGTGGAAGACAATGTGTGAGTGGTGACAATGTGTGGGGATGTTGATAGTGTGCGAGAGTATGGTGACACTACAGTGTGTGGGAGGGTGACAGTGTGTGTGAGGGGGTTGAGGGTGTGTGAGGGGGTGACACTGTGTGTGTGAGTGACCCTGTGGGGGACAGGAGGTACAGTGTGAGGAAGGGGAGTGGTAGTGTGAGGGACAATGGGTGATGGTGTGAGGCAGTGGGTTATACTGTGTGGTTGGGTGTAATACTGTGAGGGAGTGGGTTATACTGTGTGGTTGGGTATAATACTGTGAGGGAGTGGGGTAATGGTGTGTTAGAGGGAGTGTCCTTCATACCCTGGTGGTCCAGTGGTGATATCAGGTCTGCAGCTCCGCAATGTGCAGAGCTGAAGACCATGTATCTTGCAAGACCCGGTTAGAGCGTTGCTAAAACCCGCGGCAACACTCTGATTAGCCAGCTGTTGCGAGACACAAGGTCTGCAGCTCTGCACCCGGCAGAGCTGCAGACTGGTGTCTGCTATGGGCGCTCTATTCCCGGCAGACTGGAGGGGCCTCGCAACCGGTGGCATACTGAGCAAGCTGCCGGGCCCCCTCCTGGTGTCGGGTTCTAGGTCACCTAAGGCGAATTTTAGGCCAAAGCCTTAGGCAGCCACCGAAATCGCCTAATTATCACCTCTGACCTGGAATACATCTAGCGGCAGACGTGGAAGTGCTGGTTAGTCCTATATTGATTCCCGCTGTTATATCCACTTCCCATAGAGTTACACTGTGAGAAAGTGTTTTTTTCAACTTAAAATGATTCATTAAGTAACCAGGAGAGAAAACATGTTACTGGCATTAAATATGGGATGTAGTCTAATATTAGTATATGTCTGTTTATTACTGTATTGCGTGAGCTGTGTAATAACTGTTTTTTATAAAATCCGCAGTGTCCGTGACAGCTCATCCTGTGATATTGTCAGCCTACGGTAGCAGAGATCTACTTCCGTTCCAACCTGCGCCCCTGCAGTAACAAGGCTTAATGTGAGTCTGACTAGACCACCCCCCCCTGTGGGGTACTTCCCATGTTACTGTTACATACAGCTTCAACCCAAAGTCCAATGTCGCAGTTCTGTCCCCACAAACTCACCTGGAAAGACCCAAGAGCCAGTTCAAAGGACAGACGGATCTCCACAGTGCCACTGCTCACATCCTCAGGAAAGAAGGCGAAGATGATATAATGCACACCAAAAAGGGGGATCAGGAGCAGAGTGGACCGCGCCAGCCGCCTGCAAACACAGACACGGCTTATAGGGGAAACTTACACCATTCAATAAAACAGTGAGAATCACCTAGAACAGGTGTTAACCTTCGCAGGCTTGTCACTCACTTATATTGTCCAAAATCATTCCCCCAGACATCAGACGTCCTCAGCTTCTTCATTAGGATTCGAATAATTCTCACAAAGAGGATGAAATTAATCTGAAAAGTGACAGCACAAACCTTAACACTGAATGCAACACTTTGTTACTGCATTCGACACAACAGTGACGTTATTGCATTACTGCCATGTATTTGATGTCCTGGTGACACATGACGCATTGTGTCGAATACCCTCTGGTGTATAACACATTGTATCGAATACCCTCTGGTGTATAACGCATTTTGTCAAATACCCTCTGGTGTATAACACATTGTATCGAATACCCTCTGGTGTATAACGCATTGTGTCAAATACCCTCTGGTGTATAACGCATTGTGTCGAATACCGACTGGTGTATAACGCATTGTATCGAATACCCTCTGGTGTATAAAGCATTGTATCGGCTCCCCACTGGAGTATAACACATTGTATCGAATACCCTCTGGTGTATAACGCATTGTATAGATTACCCACTGGTGTATAACGCATTGTATCAAATACCCACTGGTGTATAATGCATTGTATCGAATACCCTCTGGTGTATAACGCATTGTATCGAATACCCTCTGTAACGGATCCCCTATACTCCGGCTGAGTATATCCAAATCCCAAGTGCTGCAGTGATTATAGCTCTCCTGTTTCCAGCAGATTAGTGATTAGAGCTCTCCAATCCCCCAAACATGAGCCTAGACTTCATGAAGGGGTAAAACGAATGTGTTTAATGGGAGCCACACACGGCTTTTTATGTAACTACCCATGTAAGGGAGTTCCTTAACATATAATTAAATTATCTCTCAGGTACAAAAACATACAATATAACAAAAACCCCAAAATACCCCCAAAACACATGAAAACCCCACAGCTCCTGATAGCCCAGATCCAAAAATCACCCAGATCGGTTCATGGGTTCGGGATTTTCGTGGAAGTCAATTATTTGACCAATCGCACATGGTCCTATGCCCAAAACAGTTCCAGGAAATAAGGTCCAACGGTCGGCCTCTTTAGGGAGCACAATAGTACATAAAATATCGAACAGAATCCTTAAGTTACTTGTGTAGCCTGTTCCCCTTGTTCGTGGGAACGTTTCCACTGAACAGTGCCTTTCTAAGTGGGGTAGAACCGGATGCAGGCGATGATGGAAGTCCAGCAGTGTTCGGGAGTTTCTGTGTCCGATTTTAGTTCCATGAGATTTATGCCCAAAAACAGCTGACTGCATTCGGGGGAACAAGATGGCTGCCACCTTGTGGTCGTTCATATGAAATGCAGCCACCCAGACAAAGCACTTTGCGGTGGAAATTGCTACAAAGTATCAATTGGGCTTAACAAGCACCTGGGTGGTCTCTGGTTCGTGCAGCTGTTCGGTTACCGAACAATATAAGCCAAATTGCACAAACCAAGCCTTTTTTCAGTGTATTTTGCATGGCCCATAATATAGCAGGCTCCTCCAGGAGCCTGTGACGAGGTTCGGTTTGTCACAATATCGAATAGGTGCTGGGACATGACACATTGTCTTCAACATTCTACCTCTGCATGCCCCTCAGTATCTGAGACCCCACTCCTGTGCGCTGGATAGTGTCCATATTCCTGCTTCTGCCTCTTTGTATAAAATACACCATTTCTGCACGCTTCTCTTAATACAACACACCAATAATGAATCGCGTCATGTTTTAATGAAACATTATTATTATTATTATTAACTATTGGTTGCATGCTGCTATTTCACGCAAGGATCTAGTACTGCAAGGGTATTACGCCTGTCACACACTGCTACCTACCTGCACACTGTTTAATGGTGGCCGCACTATTACACACTGTATTTAAGATTATGAAAACCTTTTGGAGTGATTTACTAAATTTATATATATTAAACGCCACAAAAATATTGGTGAAATAATTACAATATCAATAAAGAGAAATAAGCCCGGGTGCTTAAACCCCTACTCTTGGACGGCAGTAGTGACTCCATTTATCAACCAAAATACGCAGAATAAATCCAATAGCTCGGCCATCGGTTTGGGCTGATATATAGGGATCTGGAATTGTGTGCAGGTAACTTGCTCTTTAGTGCTACAATGTCGCCACCTGGTGACAGCTATTATCATTGCCAGACTCAAGCAATTATTACTGGGATTGTAGAAACACTTCCAGCACCATAACCACTACAGCATATGTAGCGGAATGGATGCTCTCGCTACACTTTTATTCCCTTTTGTTCGGCTGTCCGTACCCCCCGTTCGTTTACAGAACCAACTATGTGGGTCCCCAGATTCCTTTTGTATTTTGGATAACTCTCGCTGTGTCCATTATTGGTGCAGGGTATATTTAATGTATTGCTTGTTTGAGCCCTGTCCCTCCTCAATCTCCCATCAGCCCTTGCTATTGTCTGACCTCACCCTTCCTTGTACTATGTAACCTATTGTATGTAAATGGGGCTGTTGGGGGTCTTACACTATGTGTGCTGTGTCTAGTTAAATCAGTTGACTCTTTTGTCTGGTTACTGGGGGAATAGTTAATGGTTCCAGAGTCGCTGAAGGAAGGAATTAGTGGAGGTAACCAGTCGGGTTACCCATGGTCCGCTACAGCATATTGCCAGGAGTGCCTTCCCTGTTTTAGATAACATACTTGGGTCCCACCCAGAGCCCAACACCACCCTGCCTGCTTCCAGACTCCCATGGGCCAAGGTAACAAATTACTCTGGAAGGGGCTGGCACCATAACCACTACCATTGGCTGTAGCGATTATTGAGTGTTTCTTTAAGCAAACGGACATTGAAAATAAAAGCATGATATAAACATAATTTAAAATGAAATATTCTATGCACACTCACTGCACATTGAACCGCTTCCATGCATTTGTTCCCACCCCGTACGGTGTCTTTATATCATACTCACAAATATGGACAGAATCACTGGTCCTCGGATAATCCACCAGATGCTGGCATTAGAATTTATATCCCAACATCTGAAAGACATTATAAGCACATGAATCGTGTGTCACACAGAGATCAATAAACACAGGAAAGGATGTGTTTATGCAAGTGATTGTGTGTCTTTGTATGTTTCTGTGTGTGATTTTGTGTCAAAGTATGTGATTGTGTGTCTTTGTATGTGTCTGTGTGTGATTGTGTATGTGTCTGCGTGCGATTGCTTGTCTGTGTAATGTTTATGTGTGTGTGTACATGTATTTGTGTGACTGTATGTGTATGATTGTGTGTGTATTTGTATTTTAGTGCATATGTGTGTGATTTTGTGCGTCTGTGAGTGGGGTTGTGAGTGTTTGTGTATATGTGTATGTAGATCTGTGGGTATAAGTGTGATTGTGTATGTGTATAATTGTGTGTGATTGTGAATGTCAAAATAGAAAAAAAAGAAATAAGCTAATTTGAAAAAATACAGAAACTCGAGAAACCTTAATAACCTCCAATAATGAAAATGAAAACAAGGAGTTCTCCGCTGTGAGTTAGTGGAGATGAGTAGAATATAAAACGAATCAAAAATACTATAAAACGTTGCTTTTATGAAATTATGTTAAAGAATGAGCAAATAAACATATATAGAATTCACACTTGTGAAATATCACGTAGATGGTGTATTAAAAACAAATACCGACTACAGCGGATCTTTAAACGAACTGTGGGGTAAGTACCAGTATTATGTAAGGATCCAGTGTAATCGTATATATCAGCAATCAACATTGTGACAAACGCTCCTTACCCTGGACGTTTGTCACGAGCTCCTGGAGGAGCCTGCTAGCTAGCCTCCTGCCCAAGGACTATGGGCCACATACTGTTTGGGAGTTAAATCTCCCTAGCCGCCATTAGCAGCTTTTTATGGGTGCCCCTCGTTCGGCACTTTCCCTTCATTCAAATATAACACTAGCTTGCTGGCTGCCGTTCGCATGAAGAAATCGACAAATTGCCCTCAGCGGTACTTAGCCGCGATCGCTATGGAACTAATTTCGGAATGAGGACTTTGTGGGTTCCCAGAGACTAGCTGCTATTGTTATGGAACTTTTTGGTGTTAGGTGACCATGCAGATCCCGAACAACTTGGTCCGGGGTTTGAACCACTTTTAAATCCGCCAGGAAAGAGCTTTTTGTTGGGAAGGTGTCTGAGACTAAGGGGAAGAAACGCTACTGGAGACCCAGGCGGAGCACCCTATATTGCAGCTGCAGGAGCTCCTGGAAATTGACTGGCAAAAGCACCAAACCTTGACATGTTGGCGTTTCCCCTACACTGCAAGGATCTGAGTGCTATTTGCATGGTCGGTGCAAAGAATTTTTGGTACATAGGCGAAGATGCATTTTTCCGCCCCCCCAAAAACATCTTTACCCATGTCCCTTTTAACCTCCCTTTTGTGTTTCTTATCCCGTCTTTTAAATATCTGACTCCCTTTGCCTTTGTGTGTCTCCTATCTCTTCTCTTTGTATGACTCTTACATCCTCCCACATTTTGTGTCTTACTCTTCCCAGCCCCTTTGTGTGACTCCTTTTCTCCCAGCCCCTTTGTGTCTTTTATTCTTCCCAGCTCCTTTGTGTCTCTTTCCTTCTCAAGCCCTGGTGTGTGTTTCTTTTACATTAAGCCCCTCTCCCTGTCCCTTAATGGTCCCCTCCCTTCTCTGACCCTTACTGTTCCTCTCCCCTCTCTCCTCCTTTTCCTATTCCTCAGTGTTCCTTTCCCTTCCCCCCTCCTTTCCCTGTCCCTTAGTGTTCCTCTCCCCTCCCCCCTCTGTTCCCTGTCACTTAGTGTTCCTCTCCCCCCTCCCTCCTTTTCCTGTACCCTAGGGTATCTCTCCCCTCCTCTCCCTGTCCCTTGGTGCACCACCCACCCCCATAGTGGTCCCTCCCCTTCCTGGTGTACCTCCTACCTTTCTTGTAGCGTGGCTGAGCGGAGCGAATCCCGGTACAGTGAGCTTTTCCTGTCAGTCCGGCCAGGTACAGGAAACAGAAGTTCCTGTACCACGGTACACTCCGCTTGGCCACGCTACAGTCAGGGGTGTATAAACACTGACAGTCACACACACTCAGTGACAAACACACAGACATCTGTGACAGCCAGACTCACTTATCTGACACACTCATTCATTGACAGACACTCACACGCACACTGACAGGCACACAAACACTGACAGACTCATTGACAAACACACACTGACACACACACAAACTCACAGACACTGACAAACATGTACTCACATGCACACACGCACATACTGACAGACACACTCACACACACTGACAGACACACATACTCACACACACACTGACAGACACACTCACTCACACACACTGACAGACACACATACACACACACTGACAGACACACTCACTCACACACACACTGACAGACACACACACACACAAACTCACCGACACACTCACAGTAATTAATAATCTAAATTAAATTTAAATTTCCCACCCAGCCTCCCTACCAGGAGAGCTGGCGTGGGTCTCTCATTGGTGGTCCAGTGGGGCTGCTGGGAGGCGTGCGGCTTAATTGGATTCCGAGGTGGCTAGGGAGCTCTGAACTCTCTGATCTGTTCCCTCGCAGGCTGTTTACTGATGCCGCGGGAGCCGGAATATGACGTCATCAGTAAATAGCCTGTGAGGGAGCAGATCAGAGAGATCAGAGCTCCCTCGCCACCTCGGAATCCAATTCAGTCACACGCCGCGCAGGGGATGCCGGTCCTGCCGGTCACTGGAATTTTGCGCCCCCAGTGCCGGTGCGCCCTAAGGCGGCCGCCTGTGCTGCCTTATGGACGCGCCGGCCCTGGCTATTTGGAGAACTTGGGCGCTCAGATCAGGGCTATTTAAGGATGTAATTTTTGTGGGGTTAGTATATATTTTCATGATGTTTCTGGGCATTTTTATGTTTGATGCTTAGTCCTTCTGAAACAGAAATTAAGGGGCGTGTTGTGGGAGTGTTATGGACGTGTTTTGCTGTATCCTAGCTGTGTATAAAAGTGCCAAGTCTAGGCTGATGTTTGGGTATACCAAAGCTATAATCACTGCTAACTTGGGATTTGGGAGAACTACAGTGGATTTACTCAGTCTGAGTATAAGGGATCCGTTACAAACTCTTGTTAATTATTTCATATACGTATACACAGTGATAACAACACCCACCCTACAGCTTCCATGTTTACTTAAAGGACCACTCTAGGCACCCAGACCACTTCAGCTTAATGAAGTGGTCTGGGTGCCAGGTTCCTCTAGGATTAACCCTTCAGAGAAACAGCTATGTTTATAAATGGGTTAATCCAGCCTCTAAAGCCTCTAGTGGTTGTCTCATTGACAGCCACTAGAGGCGCTTGCGTGCTTCTCACTGTGAAAATCACAGTGAGAAGACGCAAACGTCCATAGGAAAGCATTATGAATGCTTTCCTATGAGACCGGCTGAATGCGCGCGCAGCTCCTGCCACGCATGCGCATTCAGCCGAAGAGGAGGATCGGAGGCGGAGAGGAGAAGGAGAGCTCCCCGCCTGGCACTGGAAAAAAGGTAAGTTTAACCCCTTTCCTCTCCATCGAGGCGGCGGGAGTGGGACCCTGAGGGTGGGGGCACCCTCAGGGCACTATAGTGCCAGGAAAATGAGTATGTTTTCCTGGCACTATAGTGGTCCTTTAAGCTTGTCTTAATGTCTCACGAATTATAAGGAACCAACCCGTCTTGTAAGGATTGCGGTATATTAGCTAAATGTTGGATTAATAACTTGTCAACGAATACTTGTTTTTAGCTTCTATAACACATGTAATATTCTGCTCTGGAACATAAACGAATCATTGAATTAACAACTGATGATAATGTTGGGAATATTGGGAAATAAGTCAAAATAAAGAAGAAATTAAAGCAGGTCTATACATTTCTTCACATGCTTAGGGAATAAAAGTGATCTAAAAGCTTATTCTATTCTTTAACAGGTAGATAATCTGTCTGATTTTAGGGGGGACAGACGGATATGCTATGTGTCTGTGAAAGACCCAACACTAGTCAATCGGAAAAAAACAAATTCAATCAGGCTGGAAATCAGATGTAAAGGAATGACTGTAGTGGGTAAGGCTGGAATGATATATCGTAGCCTTGAAGGGTAGGGATGTTACAAAGGTTACTGTGATCAAAGTCAAATGAAAATATATTGTTTATAGTAAAAAACAAACAAACAGGTGATAAACTAGCACAATATGGTGGGTATCCGTAATGTGCCTTCCAGAGCACCCAGCTATGATAACAGTCCCTCCAAATCACAGGCTCTCCCACCTCCCAAATTGATCTGTCTACAGTATTAAAAAAGACCAGCTATGTATTGGTGGCCCCAAATGCTTTCAAACAAACAATATAGTTTGAGAGCTCCAAAATAATGGACAAGATAAATATATACATATAATATCTCCTTTATTAAAGGATCACTATAGTCAACATATAAAAGCAAGAAAGACAGGTCCCCTAGCCTTCTTTCTGGCTTTCATATTAGTTTGAAATTAAAAATAAATACATTTCAGCCCTTTTTATGATATAAACTTGTAGCGAACGCTAGTCCTAGCCCGGACTCTCCTCCGCTGGTTACTCCAACAGCTACTCAGGAACAAGCAGGATACTTCAGGAACACAGTCATATGTGCAGAATAATCAACGAATCTACCATCATCCTTCCTAATAACTGGACGACACTCAGTATTAGGAACAGAACTGAACTTTAATGGACCAGGCTGACTTTTTATGCAGGTTTTTCTCCCAAGGTTACCACCCAGGTGGACCTTGTTGGGCACAGGTAAAAATAGTACACAGCCAATAAACACAGAGTCAGGTAGTGAGCCACTCCCATACATTCCACACAATCCCTCCCCTCTGCTTAGGAGATAATTTAGTTAATTACTGTATCAACTCAATTATCTCCAAATGAAAATTTTTATACATTTCCAGAAGTACCCAAAAAGCTTATCCTACTCCCACAATTCACACATTCCCTGATAGCCCTGATCTCGGGTAGCAACATACTGAAAAATCATCCAGATCGGTTCAGGGGTTCGACAATTCCATGCAGGTCTTAGTTTTACTGACCGCACACGAGATGTAAGCTGAAAATAGTTCCATGCGTTTGGGCTGTGTGGTCGGTCTTCGTTCGAGAGTCTGAAATACACAAAATTGCATATAAAACTGGTTTGTGCCTTAGTTCTTTGAACTCATCTCATTCGTGTGGTTCTTTTCACCGAATACCGCTCTGTTCCCCTGAGTTTACACAAACTTACCCAAGGATGGAAGTCTCTGCAGTGTTCGTGCCATTGAGTGTCCGATTTGGGCTCCAGACACTCGACGACCAAACCCCGCCAATGCAGTTCGTATTCAGTTCGCATATACGAACGGCGGCCACCCAGGGGGATCACCAAGTTGGTTTGTGTGTTTGTGGTTAAGAAAGTGTGAACAGGGTTAGGAAGGACAATTGGCACCACGCTCTTCTCATGGGTGGCCTGGTTGTTCGGTACTTAGTTCGTTTGTCGAACTATATAGGGAAAGTCAGCTGAAATAGGGATAATACCTGTAACGAAATCCCTGTTTTTACAGACTATTTTGTGTTGTTTGTAAAACAGCCGAACAAACTCCCGAACCACCCGACCCCCCACCAGAGTCGTGTGCAGCTTATTAACCACCCAGACCTTGCGGTTAACTGCAAGTAATTGTTGAAAGCCTTGGTGGTCGTTTGCCAAACTCGTGGCAGTTGCCATTTTAAAATCGGCGAACGCTCAGTGGTAGATGGTCGTTGACACCCTGCAACTGTTTTCGGACACTTATTTAGCCGCACACCGCTGAAGCGTACCAAGTTCCAGTCCATTTGTCTAATAACTCACGAACACTCTACCGTTTGGGACTTTCCTACCATACGAACTATACCGACCCCAGGTAGCTGTAGTTTTCGGATTCAATTACACGAACAACCGGTGAACTAAAAACTTTACTCGACGACATTGAGAACTGTGTTCGTCAGATCTGAGCGCTATTCGTCTATACTGTGCGCTCAGATCCAAGCTATCTGGGGGTATGTGGAACCTGGAGACTACGTTTGGCGAAAAATAAGTTATGGATTTTAATACAGTTTTGTCAAAATGTAAAAAGGACATGTTTCTCTCTACCTGGAGATAATTAGGTTCTCTCCAACCACTTAAGTTAATTATCTCCAGGATAGAGCGGAGGGGTTTCACTGTTACTGTGGGTGTGTTTAATAATTGTACTGTAGCCCGATTGGTTCTGTATTTTGTGTCACAGTTTTCCACAAGGTCCCCTGTGGAAGTTTCCTTGCTGGGAGACTATCATAAAAGGCCGAGTGTGGCCAGCATTAAAGCAGATCGTTTTACCCCTTCATGAACTCTCGACTCATGTTTAGGGGAATTGGGAGATATAATCACTACTTCGCTATTCTGCTGGGATTTTGGGTGAAGCTGCAAGGATCGGTCCTACAGGGATAACAGGATCCTTTACAATACCGAATAACCAGACGTAAAGACATAATGTAATAATTTGTTACTTGCTTCCTCAAGTAACGAACAGTAGCAACACAGGAAAATAAAGGAACACAAGGGGTATGGACAGCCCCTAGTACTGTGGCAAAGCCTATTCCGCTACAAAACGTACCTCCGTTACAGCGCCAAGCTCCTCGGCAGGCCACTCCCCATTTTTCGTCACAATGCCGAAATAGCAGGGCCCAATCAGACGCTTCTCTTTGAGAAGTGTCATCGCTCTGTGGTGCGCACGCGCGGCTTCGCGCTGCACCAATCAGGTTCTTCATAGAGCAGTATTGAATGCCGCCCTATGAATGAACAGAGCGCTCTACCGCGCATGTGTGCAGTATGCGCATTCGCGAGCTGAGCTGACTGACATCTCAGTTTGCTGTCTATGCCCGCCTCCCTCCTACGGCAACCCTCCTAAGCCAAAAGTTTGTATGCAAACACTATATATAGAGATATCTCTATACATAGTGTTTGTATACAAACACATTTTAAATAAGTATTGTTAAAAATACACAAACACATTATCTATCTCTATCCATCTTTTTCTATATAGCTATCTATCCATCTATCTCTTTCTATCATACTATCTATCTCTATCTATTTCTCTCTCTCACTCACACTCACTCAATCTCGCTCTCAATTTTTCAAATAAGTTTACTTACTGTTTGAAGTCAATTGATTCTCCTGCTCGGTCTTCTGCCTTCTGCCTGTCCGCTCGAGCCCACGCTGTGTGCAGGAGGTCGTTATCGCACACACTGTTGGCTCTGATTGCTGACAGGCACGTTCACAGTGCCTCCTGTCTCTAGAAATCACGTTTCATGTATTCGCCCAAGCGTGAAGACATCAAACGTGGGGAATGCGAGTTAGGCTTTCATGAACTTGGAAGTCCTTCTGGTGGCCGTCTGAGTGACTGCAACTGGAGGTGTTCCTAGCTTCCAAGGCGAACACTGTATTTTCTGAGAAAATACAGTGTTTACATGAGAGAGGCTACAGGGAGCTATTGTTCTCACCTGAACAACCTCATTAAGCTGAAGTTGTGCTGGTGACTATAGTGTCTCTTACACGCAGGACACAGAGAATAGTATCTAAGCACAGCATAAAAGATAACTCCAACTAAAATGTTACAAATAGCAACTTCACCAAATTATAAACACAATCCCACTACAACAACCTAGATAAAAAGGGGCCATGTATACTAAGGGATGAATCAATTATATGGCGGTTTAGAAAATAATAAATAAAGCATTTAACCAGGAAAGGTACATTCAGATTACTCTAGTTTACAAGTACAACCGGGAATGTTACTATTACCCAATTTAATGGTACTCATTTTATCTACCTTGGAAGGATGATGGGCTGAGTCAACCCTGCCGGGAATTGAACCTACGAGCCCCAAGGGTTGAACTGATTCTATTGATGATACCTTAGTCCATTGAGTTATCTCACCAGCTGAATACTATATCAAGCTTTCAGCAATACTATAGGTACACAGACCATTTCAGCTCAGTGAAGTGGTCTGGGTGCAGTGTACCAGACCCCTTAACCCTGCAGTGATAATTATTGCAGTTTTTAATTATGTGTCATACAAACATAGCATTTATATAACAAAAAGTATAACAGTGGCATTTAACAACAGTATACATTAGTTCTATAATTACATTGGTTATACCTCTGAGTTGATGCTATGTTATTTCGGTCATGGAGCCTTACCCTCGGATAGTATTTCCCAGAAAATATAAGTGTGGTGGAACGTACCGTTAATTGTGACTATTTGACTTTTCTTACATTCGGGAGTTATCGTACCTGAACCCACTTGGTTTGGCTCTGCATAGGAACCTCGTCTGTACTTTATTAGAACACTAGAACATCGATTAACACATAAGTGTGAAACCGAAAAGGAAATAATTAATGAGTGCTTTCCCTGGGTGGCTGCCATTTTGTAAGCGAACCCACGTTGGTCGAGAGACTGGTGGCCATCTTGTCTCCTGAAAACACAGGTAGTGGGACGAGGTCGAACACCTGGAACCCTTTTTGGATAGACGACCTTGCAAACATTGGAGAAACTCTACCGCTACCTGCCCCGAACAGGTAGGAGAGTGCTTTTTGGGAGAACGAGAATATCAACCAGGGGGAGCATTCACTCCCTGGAAGCAAGGGAATACCTTTAACGGTATTCGTACAGGAACTCCCTAATGGAGACCGGCCGTGTGGTGGACCGCCTGGCACCCCGACTGGGTACCTCCGCCAATCACGCTTCCTAGTATTACCAAGTACTATAAGCACCGCACAAGACACCATAACCACTGTAGTCTCCCCTTAGACACCGCAGCTTGGCTGGGGTCTTGCCGTCCCTTTCCACCCTGGACCAACACCTGGATCCAGCTCCCAGTGAGAAAACCTCTCCTGCAAGAGAGTATAATAATCCAAAGAGCAGTATAGCAATTCCCCCCACAAATGAGCCAAGGCTTAATGCTGGGAAGTCATCTGTTTAATGGGAGCACAGTCACAGAATTTATACAAGTTACAAACTCCTCCCCTGTGCCTGAGAAATAATTGAGTCAGGAACTGTACTAACTCAATTACCTCCAGGTACAGAAAGACATACAAATTTGAAACACCCCAAAAGTACCCCAAAACATATGAAAACACCCCAAAAGTTACATTCCGTGATAGTCTCGATCTGGGTGACCAACATATGCAATAATCACCAAAATCTGTCCAGGGGTTTGGGATTTCTATGGAAGTCATAATTTGACCGACCGTGCACCTGGTCCTATGCCCAAAACAGTTCCATGAAATCACTGCTAACGGTTGGGCAAGTTTGGTAGTTTAAAAATTAACAAACTACCGAACGTAGTCAATAGTCATACTGTGGAGCTTGTTCCCCTACAAGCTGGGTGGTCAGAACTTTACCCCGGTGGTGATTCTATTCTACTGAATGGATCTGAGTGCTATGTGGCCAACTTGGGGTCTATCCAGTGATATGACACTTGTGGGGTTCCTGTCGATATTGGGGATTCTTTTGGGGGATTGTAGATATATTGTACATGTTTCCTTGTAACTGAGAGATAATCGAGTTACAGTTTCCTGACTCAAATACCTCCCAGACACAGGGACGCCATGGAGTGGCTTGCAATATTTCTGTATGGAGGACCCTACTGGGGGGTCTGTGTATAAATTGAGCATGTTTTGTCTGAATAAACTAGGTCTCGTCTAGTTACTGTGGGAACACAAGCTTAATCATACAAGGCTCCAGTCTGGCTGATAGCGGAGGTAACTAGTCGAGTTACCCGGAGTCCACTTCAATAAGCATATTATCATGAGATTTTATCTGATTGATAATGTTGATTTAACATATTAAACCATATTAGGTATATTGTACCCTTGTAAGACGGAAGGGTGTCTACGGTTATCAGTATTTATTTTTAACGCACCATCAAGGTGATACTTCATGAGTGTGAATTTTATATTTGTTTATATGCGCATTCATTAAAGTAATTCCATCAAAGGTATGTTTTATTGTAGTTTTGATTCATTCTATGTTCCACTCATCTATTTTCACTAACTCCCACTGGAACACGCCTTGTTTTCATTTTGGTGGCCATGATTGTGTATGTGTGTGATTGTCTATGTGTATAAATGTGTTTGATTGCGTGTAAATGTGTATTATTGTCTATGTGTATATATGTGTGTGTGTGACTACGTGTGATTGTCTATGTGTATGTGTGTGATTGTCTATGTGTATATGTGTGTGATTGTGTGTATTTATGTGTGTGCAATTCTGTGTGTATGTGTGTGATTGTTTATGTGTGACTGTGTGTGTATATGTGTGTGCGTGATTGGCTATGTGTGATTGTCTATGTGTATATGTGTATGATTGAGTGTGACTGTCTATATGACTGTATGTGTATATATGTGTGTGTGATTGTGTGTGTGATTGTGTGTGTATATGTGTGTGATTGTGTGTGTATGTGTGTGTATAGCAGATGACTAGATGTGTGTGATTGTCTATGTGTATATGTGTTTGAGTGTGACTGTTTGTGATTGTCTTTGTTTGACTGTATGTGTATATGTGTGTGTGTGATTGTGTGTGATTGTCTATGTGTGATAGTACCCAAGGCAGAGTACAGAATATTTGATTGAGTCCTAACCTCAACATATGAGGAAAGGGATTTAGGGGTGATTATTTCTGATGACTTAAAGGTAGGCAGACAATGTAATAGAGCAGCAGGAAATGCTAGCAGAATGCTTGGTTGTATAGGGAGAGGTATTAGCAGTAGAAAGAGGGAAGTGCTCATGCCATTGTACAGAACACTGGTGAGACCTCACTTGGAGTATTGTACACAGTACTGGAGACCGTATCTTCAGAAGGATATTGATACCTTAGAGAGGGTTCAGAGAAGGGCTACTAAACTGGTTCATGGATTGCGGGATAAAACTTACCAGGAAAGGTTAAAGGATCTTAACATGTATAGCTTGGAGGAAAGACGAGACAGGGGGGATATGATAGAAACATTTAAATATATAAAGGGAATCAACACAGTAAAGGAGGAGACTATATTTAAAAGAAGAAAAACTACCACAACAAGAGGACATAGTCTTAAATTAGAGGGACAAAGGTTTAAAAATAATATCAGGAAGTATTACATTACTGAGAGGGTAGTGGATGCATGGAATAGCCTTCCAGCTGAAGTGGTAGAGGTTCACACAGTAAAGGAGTTTAAGCATGCGTGGGATAGGCATAAGGCTATCCTAACTATAAGATAAGGCCAGGGACTAATGAAAGTATTTAGAAAATTGGGCAGACTAGATGGGCCGAATGGTTCTTATCTGCCGTCACATTCTATAGTCTATGTGTATATGTTTGTATGTGTATATGTGTGTGTGATTGTGTGTATGTGTTATTTTGTGTGTATGTGTGTGATTGTTTGTATTTGTGTGATTGTGTGTATATGTGTGTGTGTCTATGTGGGACTGTGTGTGCATATGTGTGTATAGCAGATGATTATGTTTGTATGTGAAGGTATGTTTAAATGTTGCGCCTTACCCAGTGTCCTCGTACAGATGGCGACACAGTGACCACGCAATGATAAATATCAGAGGGGATCCTGAAACAGAAGACTAGGTCATGGTTTAGCTGCAGCCAGATCTACCCTGTCTTGGCTCTGCCAGTGGCATTAATCCTAGTACCTACCCCAGCCGAGTCCAATATACCAGCAGAAGTACTTCCACTCTGAGAAGAAGGAGATAACCAGCAGGGTGTGGAGATAGAGACCTTCCACCAGTAACCAGCTGTAATTGGCCATGATGCAATACTGGAAGAATATCATGACGTATTTACACCTTTTCTGAAAACAGACACACAGCCAAATTAGAGAAATGCCATCGCCATACAGAATGTACAATTATCAAACCGTTTCCAATGTACTGAATATAAATCTGGAAATCCATGAAAATTGAGAATATTTCACACAGTGTTTTTTTACTAAAGGGAGAATTGTCGAAATCAAATTCAATTTCATATCTAAAGGGTCTATATAGTCACCAAAACAACTTTGCCTTAAAGGACCACTATAGTGCCAGGAAAACATACTCGTTTTCCCCCACCCTCAGGGTCCCCCTCCCGCCGGGCTCTGGAGAGAGGAAGGGGTTAAAATGTTACCTTTCTCCAGCGCCGGGTGGGGAGCTCTCCTCCTCCTCTTCGGCTGAATGCGCATGCGCAGCAGGAGCTGCGTGCACATTCAGCCAGTCTCATAGGAAAGCTGAATGCGCAAATACCAGCAAAAATTTATAATAAATAAAGCATTCATAATGCTTTTCTATGGACGCTTGCGTGCTCTCACTGTGATTTTCACAGTGAGAAGCATGCAAACGCCTCTAGCGGCTGTCAATGAGACAGCCACTAGAGCAGGGGTAGGCAACCTTTTAGCAGCACTGTGCCGATATAGGATTGTGATGTCCCGTAGCGTGCCGGTCCTATTTTTGAGGTGCGTATTCTGCTTGTGTTATTTTTACTGTAATTGCTTTGTATCGTTGTATTTGTGCGTATATGAGCTATTATATTGTATATGTTCATTAGTAGTTTGTGGTATCGTGTATGATACATATGAATGTGGGCTGTGTATGGGGGCTGCTTGTGGAATTGTGTGTGTGGATGGATATGTCACATTGTGTGTTTGGTAGTGTGTGGGGGCTGTTTGGGGTATTGCATGTGAAAGGCTGCATGTGGCGTTGTGTGCATGTATGTGGATTGTTAGTGGTGTTACATTTGTGCGGATTGTGTGTATGTCTGTGTGTGGGCTGTCCGTATTATTTGTATGAGGGGAGGGTTATTCTGCAGTTCTCTGTATATCTAGCAGTGTGGGAGGCTTCCCTGGGTTTTAGTGGGGACCAGGCTGGCCAGGTACAGGTCAAGGACAGGCGCTGCAACAGGAAGCTGCGGGCTGCTCTACTACAGTGTGGATTCCCATTCACAAGTGCTGGGAGGCAGTGATCTGAGATCACTTACTCTACGTGCTGCAATGCATAAATTGAGGATTGTCCTTCACCACCTCTTCGTATTAGCAGATATCTGATGTTTTACTGGGACTCCTGGTAGCCAGAGCCTGTTTGGCTCTAGCAGCCCCGAGTGCCGTAGGTTGCCTACCCCTGCACTAGAGGCTTTAGAGGCTGGATTAACCCTAACATAAACATAGCAGTTTCTCTGAAGTTGCTATGTTTATAAAAATAAAAAAAAATGGGTTAACCCTAGCTGGACCTGGCACCCAGACCACTTCATTAAGCTGAAGTGGTCTGGGTGCCTAGAGTGGTCTTTTAATGAAGCAGTTTATAGATCAGGCCCTGCAGTCTCTCTGTTAAATTCTCTGCCATTTAGGAGTTAAATTTAGATTGTAAGCTCACGGGCTGTCTAGCTAAGCACTTTGTATAAATAGCTTCAATGGCTAGATTTCAGCTTACAGGCAAGGCCCGCTCTACCTTTTGTATTGTACGTTCTCCCCTAATTGTACAGCGCTGTGGCTTTATAAATACCAGCAAAAATGAATAATAAATAAATCACTTTGTTTCTGTTTATACAGCCCCAGTCACACCTCCCCTGGCTGTGACTGACTTTAACTTGCTTAAGATGTGTTTATCTCCTGCTCTGTAAATTAATCCTCTAAAATACACTGAACGCTCCTGTGGGGTCTAGAAAGCTATTAATAGTGCAGGAGATAAGACATCTTTCATTAAGCTAAATGTGAAATAAGAGAAGTGTAAACACTAGATCTCTCTTTACAGGAAGTGATTAGGAAGATTGTGCAAGTCACATGCAGAGAGGTGTGGCAACACAGTGATTTAACTCCTAAAGGGCAGAGAATTGAACAGTGAGACTGCAGGGGCATGATCTATACACCAACACTGCTACATTAAGCTAAACTTGTTTTGGTGACTATAGTGTCCCTTTAAGGCCAAAATAGGCAAAATGAATACATTCTCACAGTCATCTATGCTTCTAGTTTGGGTACTTTAAATTTGAAATTTCCTTTGCATTCCCACAATTATCACTTCAGTGACTATCCCTGTTAGAGTGTTATTAACTAAACCAGCAACTCTAAGGATTTAGTGACAGAAAGCTAGCTTTTGGCGCACTTTGTGATTCCTACCTGAATTCCCAACTACTCACAGTTTAAGGGATTATTCACTAGTTATTTACTAACGTGAGATTTCTAAGTGATTTTAAAACTTTAGGCCAGAGTACCACACTAAACTGCCAAGTGCCCTGACACAGGAGGAACAGTCCCTCATATTTCATGAAATAAAATGCTTACTTAATTGGATACAAATGAAACAATGTGTAAATGGATCAAGTCATGAGATGGCTTCCACATGCCTCTGCTTCTTTCTTTTTCAGATATTCACTAGAATTCCCTATAATACACTACATATCACTAGAATTCACTATAGTATACTTTAACTCACTAGAATACACTACATTTCACTAGAATTCACTATAGTATACTTTAACTCACTATAATACACTACATTTCACTAGAATTCACTATAGTATACTTTAACGCACTAGAATACACTACATTTCACTAGAATTCACTATAGTATACTTTAACGCACTAAAATACACTACATTTCACTAGAATTCACTATAGTATACTTTAACGCACTATAATACACTACATTTCACTAGAATTCACTATAGTATACTTTAACTCACTAGAATACACTACATTTCACTAGAATTCACTATAGTATACTTTAACTCACTATAATACACTACATTTCACTAGAATTCACTATAGTATACTTTAACGCACTAGAATACACTACATTTCACTAGAATTCACTATAGTATACTTTAACGCACTAAAATACACTACATTTCACTAGAATTCACTATAGTATACTTTAACGCACTATAATACACTACATTTCACTAGAATTCACTATAGTATACTTTAACTCACTAGAATACACTACATATCACTAGAATTCACTATAGTATACTTTAACTCACTACAAGACACTATAGTATAATTTAACACACTATAATACACTAAATTTCACTAGAATTCACTACAGTATACTTTAACTCACTACAAGACACTATAGTATAATTTAACACACTATAATACACTAAATTTCACTAGAATTCACTATACTATAGTTTAACTCACTATAATAGCCTATTTTACTAGAATTCCCTATAGTATACTTTAACTCACTATAATACACTACCTTTCACTAGAATTTTCAATAATACACTACATTTCACTAGCATTCCCTATAGTATACTTTAACTCACTATAATAGACTGCATTTCACTAGAGTTCACTACAGTATACTTTAACTCACTATAATACACAAAATTTCACAATAATTCACTATAATACACTACCTTTCACTATACTATAACAACTCACTATAATATACTAAATTTCCCTAGAATTCACTATACTATACTTTAATTCACTAGAATAGACTGTATTTCACTAATATTCACTATAGTATGCTTTAACTCACTATAATACACTATCTTTCACTAGAATTCACTATAGTATACTTTAACTCACTATAATAGACTGCATTTCACTAGAGTTCACTACAGTATACTTTAACTCACTATAATACACTACATTTCACCAGAATTCACTATACTATACTTTAACTCACTAGAATAGACTGTATTTCACTAGAATTCACTATAGTATACTTTAACTCACTATAATGCACTACATTTTACTATAATTCACTATAGTATACTTTAACTCACTATAATAGACTGCATTTCACTAGAGTTCACTACAGTATACTTTAACTCACTATAATACACTATATTTCACTATAATTCACTATAGTATACTTTCAAGGTTCACTATAGAGTCAGGAACACAAACATGTATTCCTGACCCTATAGTGTTAAAACCACCAACTAGCACCTCAGGGCCTCTCATGCCTCTATAAATATAGCAAAATCTTACTGTATTCAAGCCTGAAGCTGTAGATCTGCATGCTGTTAGACTCATAAAAACAAGCTGTCTGCTGACATCATTAGAAGTGGTGCCCTGATCCAATCACAGTGCTTCCCCATAGGATTGGCTGAGACTAACAAAGAGGCAGATCAGGGTCAGAGCCAGCATGATTCAAACACAGCCCTGGCCAATCCGCATCTCCTCATAGAGATACATTGAATCAATGAATCTCTATGAGGATAGTTCAGTGTCTGCAGAGGGAGGAGATACTGAATGTTTGGATGCATTTTAGGCAGCCATGAGTCAGGAAGGATCTCTAACAGCCATCTGAGGAGTGGCCAGTGAAGTTATCACTAGGCTGTAATGTAAACACTGCATTTTCTCTGAAAAGACCATGCTTACAGCAAAAAGCCTGAAGGTAATGATTCTACTCACCAGAACAAATCCAATAAGCTGCATCCTATACAATGATCTGTGTCCTATACAATAAGCTGTATATCATTCCATAAGCTGTAGTTGTTCTGCTGACAATAGTGTCATTTTAACTCACTATAATACACTGCATTTCACTAGAATTCACTATAATACACTATAGTATACTCCAATTCAAGAAAATGTATCATATACTTTAGTTCACTACAATACACTACATTTCACTACAGTTCACTATAATTTACTATCATTCCCTATAGTTCACATAATTCACCAGACACTATGTTCATTCTGCTCGTGTGAAATAAATGTTTAACTGCTGTGATTTATTCACTATATAAACTGAATCCAAATGAATTTAACGAGTTGGGAGGAGATCCTTTTGAAGGATATAAATTTGCGGCTCTCAAGGAGACACGTTAGGGGGAAACATGATAAATATAACTATATATATATATATATATATATATATATATATATATTAGTGAGCAGTGTATTATAGTGATTTTACTGTAACAAATTAGAGGTTTCTCTCCACGTCAGCTAAATGTAAGTAATCTAGACGTTGATTGTCCGCTTAGTAAATAACTCCTAATAATCATTCCCACAGGCCAATCGTGGTGTCCACACATGGCACCCTGTGCTGCTCCCCCTCTAGCAGAGACACAGCAAGCGTTCTCTCGTGATGCCATGCCAGGCCCCCCTTACCATGTATACATTGCAGTGCTGGGCGTCATCCAGAGAGAAGAGCGCAGCGTCCTTTATAAAGATGGACATCGCTCGCAGGATAAACGATGCAAACAGGTGCATGTGAATGTAGTTCCGGGTACAGCGTAGCCTCCTGCAACCAATGAGAGAGCAGTGAGTAACATTAACCTGAATTAAGCGGATTGTTATTACAGCGAGGTGTTTGCATGAACCGTACTCACCGGAAGGACGCTAGGAGGACCAGTGCGAGCGACAGAGATGCAAGTGAGGTCCCGTAGCCCACGGAGTACAGCGTTTTCAGATGCATGTAATAGGCTTTCTAGAGAACATGCACAGGATTCAGTGCACACAGTAATAACCATCATAGGCCAATGCCAGGATATGCCTTTAATCCTGTTTTATCCTCCCCTGTGCTTTATACGCTGCATGAACATTAATATAAGCTTCAAATATGAATACAAGCCAGCCTGTGACTTTGAGTATTGCCAAATTTGCCTGGAGGTGTTTACAGTTTATTACCATGCCTATTGCGCAGTGTTTTAATATTCAGATAGAAAATATGCAATATAGCTCCTCCCATTGTTACTGACTGCTCCCCATTCTACCCAGACCTCAAATCTGACACAAGCCATCTGACCATAGGACACCCTGTCCCCTACTGGTGAGCACAGAGTATGGAAATCCCGCAAGTCGTGTAAAACCATCACTCCACCATAACTATTCCATCGTCTGCGCCATTTATCGACCATATCTGTGACACTCTGTCTTCTGTAATTATTTTATACATGCGCAGCACAAATGACGGTTTTATTCACCAGCATCAATAAAAAAAACAACAAATCACTGAGCAGAAAAAACAAGTTAAGTCATAAACATTTTCCAGTCTGGGATTTTTATCGCTCTTTAGTTTCGCCATATTAATTGTTCTCAGTCACCAGTCATTATCTCCCCTCTGTTGATCTAATGAAAATTAGGGCATAAAAAAAGCTACAAATAAAAAAATTGTCAGCATTTGCCATTTTGCCAAAGCTCCCACATTGTGCTCTACACACACTGGACATGTTAACATATAACACAAATCCACAATCTTACCCTGAAAAATATCATTTAGCGCGCCCTAGGGTAAATATGGAAACTCGCTTACCACATCCTCGACCACTGTGTCGTTGACATCGTATCCGCAGGCCACGTGTACAGGGGGAAAGATTCCTGTCCATCCTGTCTCTGTGCAGTTCCTGTGGACTGACCCTAAGCAGTGACAGAAGGTGCACTGTGTACAGGGGGGGGCGATTTTATAGAACAACCATCACATTCTATGCCAGTTACAGGGGAAATATTGGAATTGACTGGCAGTGCCCTCCCTTCTAGGAATCATGGGCCTAACCCCAATTAGTGAACGACTATAATTAGTCAATAAAGGGGATACATTGCAATAATACAATTCCCACTACTCGAATGGGCTACACGGATTGTGATACATTTTATCTATGCAACATACGAATTACAGCTAAGTGTGTTATTACAGCTTATTGTATTATCACAGCTCATTGTATTATCACAGCTCATTGTGTTATTACAGCTCATTGTATTATCACAGCTCATTGTGTTAGTACAGCTCATTGTGTTATTACAGCTCATTGTGTTATCACAGCTCATTGTATTATCACAGCTTATTGTGTCATTACAGCTCATTGCATTATCACAGCTTATTGTATTATTACAGCTAATTGTATTATCACAGCTTATTATATTATTACAGCTCATTGTGTTAGTACAGCTCATTGTATTATCACAGCTTATTGTACTATTACAGCTTATTGTGGTATTACAGCTCATTGCGTTATTACACTATTATTACAGCTCTTTGTGTGATTACAGCCTATTGTATTATTACAGCTCATTGTGGTATTACAGCTTATTGTGTTAGTACAGCTCATTGTGTTACTACAGCGCATTGTGTTTTTACAGCTTATTGTATTATCACAGCTTATTGTATTATCACAGCTCATTGTGTTATTACAGCTTATTGTATTATCACAGCTTATTGTATTATCACAGCCCATTGTGTTATTACAGCTTATTGTATTATTACAACTCAGTTTATTATTACAGCTTATTGTATTATTACAGCTCATTGTGTTATTACAGTTTATTGTATTATTGCAGCTCAGTGTATTATTACATCTCATTGTGTTATTACAGCTTAATGTTGTCACAAAACCCCTCTCCAACATGAACGAAAAAAAAGGGCTATTGTCACGATGGGAAGGGGTTATGGAGACTCCTGGATGCGTCTTCTGCCTGACAGCTGGAAATGGGGAATGCTGGGGATTGTTTGGACCCATCCTGCACATCGAACGCCTGACCAGAGATACCCTGAAACCGATCAGGACACTATTTTGTTAGTAAGGATGCTTGGTGACGAGCTATGCAGGGATATACAACGTGTGGGGGGTTGATGCTCTCTTCCGAGCGTCAGGAACCCCATTTTATGAGACTAACCAGCCGCATGCCTGGAACTCTGTGCTGGATTGGAGAATTGCTGCGACCAAGTACATCTTTAACATGCTCTAGTGTGGAAGCTATAATTAGGACACTGATTGAACAGTAAGGGCACTCGGTGCAATCTAGGGACATACAAGGTCCATGTAAAGGCGTTTTTGGGGGACATATAACCACGGCAGGGATCTATAACCACGGCAGGGAGCTATAACCACCGCAGGGATCTATAACCACCACAGGGAGCTATAACCACCACAGGGAACTATAACCACCGCAGGGAGCTCTAACCACCGCAGGGAGCTCTAACCACTGTAGGGAGCTATAACCACCGCAGAGAGATATAACCACCGCAGGGATCTATAACCACCGCAGGGAGCTATAACCACCGCAGGGAACTATAACCACCGCAGAGAGCTATTACCACTGCAGGGAACTATAACCACTGCAAGGAACTATAACCACCGCACAGAGCTATAAACACCGCAGAGAGCTATTACCACGGCAGGGAACTATAACCACCACAGGGAACTATAATCACCGCAGAGAGCTATTACCACTGCAGGGAACTATAACCTCTGCAAGGAACTATAAACACCGCACAGAGCTATAAACACCGTAGAGAGCTATTACCACGGCAGGGAACTATAACCACTGCAAGGAACTATAACCACCGCAGGGAACTATAACCACCGCAGGGAGCTCTAACCACCGCAGGGAACTATAACCACCGCAGGGAACTATAACCACCGCAGGGAGCTATAACCACCGCAGAGAGCTATTACCACTGCAGGGAACTATAACCACCGCAGAGAGCTATTACCACTGCAGGGAACTATAACCACTGCAAGAAACTATAACCACCGCACAGAGCTATAGCCACCGCAGAGAGCTATTACCACTGCAAGGAACTATAACCACCGCAGAGAGCTATAACCACCGCAGGGAGCTATAACCACCGCAGGTATTGTGTGTCTCTTTCTGTATTTTGTGTCTCTCTCTCTGTATTGTGTGTCTCTCTCTGTATTGTGTCTCTCTGTATTGTGTGTGTCTCTCTGTATTGTGTGTCTCTCTCTGTATTGTATCTCTCTCTGTATTGTGTCTCTCTCTGTATTGTGTATCTCTCTCTGTATTGTGTATCTCTCTCTGTATTGTGTGTGTCTCTCTGTATTGTGTGTGTCTCTCTCTGTATTGTATCTCTCTCTGTATTGTGTCTCTCTCTGCCTCTGTATTGCGCCAGTACCTGTTATTCCGGTAATAGCTTGCAGGATTTGTGGACATGGCTTGGTGATGGTGTCTCCGAGGGGAGCAGACGGCCAGCAGCTCAGATTATCCCACATTCCAGCACAGCCTACAATAAACGCAAATAATAACAATCTGTGAAAAACTACCCCAACCAACGGGAGGGTAACACTATCTTTGGTTACTATCTATACAGACCCCTTACAGACAGACCACAATCTAAACAAACCCTTTACAGACAGACCCCCATCTAAACAGACCCCTTATAGACAGACCCCAATCTAAACAGACCCAATCTAAACAGACCCCTTACAGACAGACCCCTTATAGACAGACCCCCATCTAAACAGACCCAATCTAAACAGACCCTTTACAGACAGACCCCATCTAAACAGACCCCTTATAGACAGACCCCAATCTAAACAGACCCCCATCTAAACAGACCCCTTACAGACAGACCCCTTATAGACAGACCCCCATCTAAACAGACCCCTTACAGACAGACCCCCATCTAAACAGACCCTTTATAGACAGACCCCTTACAGACAGACCCCTTATAGACAGACCCCTTATAGACAGACCCCTTATAGACAGACCCCCATCTAAACAGACCCCTTACAGACAGACCCCTTATAGACAGACCCCCATCTAAACAGACCCTTTATAGACAGACCCCCATCTAAACAGACCCCTTACAGACAGACCCCTTATAGACAGACCCCCATTTAAACAGACCCCTTACAGACAGACCCCCATCTAAACAGACCCTTTAGACAGACCCCCATCTAAACAGACCCCTTACAGACCCCTTATAGACAGACCCCTTACAGACAGACCCCCATCTAAACAAACTCTTTACAGACAGACCCCCGTCTAAACAGACCCCTTATAGACAGACCCCCCATCTAAACAGACCCCTTACAGACAGACCCCCATCTAAACAAACCCTTTATAGACAGACCCCCATCTAAACAAACTCGTTATAGACATACCTCCTACAAACAGACCCCTTTAGACAAACTCCTTATAGAGAAACCCCCATCTAAACAGACCCCTTATAGACAGACCCCCATCTAAACAGACCCCTTACAGACAGAGCCCCATCTAAACTGACTCCTTACAGACAGACCCCTTATAGGCAGACCCCCATCTAAACAGACCCCTTATAGACAGACCCCCATCTAAACAGACCCCTTACAGACAGAGCCCCATCTAAACAGACCCCTTCCAGACAGACCCCTTATAGACAGACCCCCATCTAAACAGACCCCTTACAGACAGAGCCCCATCTAAACTGACTCCTTACAGACAGACCCCTTATAGGCAGACCCCCATCTAAACAGACCCCTTATAGACAGACCCCCATCTAAACAGACCCCTTACAGACAGAGCCCCATCTAAACAGACCCCTTCCAGACAGACCCCTTATAGACAGACCCCCATCTAAACAGACCCCTTACAGACAGAGCCCCATCTAAACTGACTCCTTACAGACAGACCCCTTATAGGCAGACCCCAATCTAAACAGACTCCTTACAGACAGACTCCTTACACACAAATTATATACTATATTTTTATTATATGATACACTATATTATACAATATTATTTATCACATGATATACTATATTATCACATGATATACTATATTATTTATTATATGACACCCTATATTATTTATCACATGATATACTATATTATTTATCACATGATATACTATATTATTTATTATATGACACCCTATATTATTTATCACATGATATACTATATTATTTATTATATGATACACTATATTATATTATTTAATATATGATACACTATATAATTTATTATATGACATACTATATTAGTTATCACATGATATACTATATTTATTATAAGATACCCTATATTATTTATCACATGATAAGTATATTATTTAATATATGATATACTATATTATTTATTATATGATATACTATATTAGTTATCACATGATATACTATATTAGTTATCACATGATATACTATTCTATAGTTATAGTATTCCATACTATTTCAGAGTAGCAGCGTAGCTTCCTATTGGCTGCCGCAGGATTGGAGGATATGGTCGCCTGCGCGGAGCCACAGAATCAGTTCACCAGAAATATTTAACGGGGAGATCTATGTTAAACATAGTGTGGACTGAGTGCCCGCTCAGGCAACCCATCACTTACCTTCCTGTTCCCAGTGACTGCCAGATTTATTGTTCCGCTCCGCGCTGAGCTCCTCGCTGCATAGTTCCTCCTGCTGACGCACAACATTCAGCATGTCACAGAGAAGCTGATTGGCTCCAACCTGGAGAGAAACATCTGTCACTGTGAGCCAGTCAGAGAAACTAGAGATTTAATGTGATAATCTGCAGGGGCCGGACACGTCTGTCACTGTGAGCTAGTCAGGGAAACTAGAGATTTAATGTGATACTCGGCAAGGGCCGGACACGTCTGTCACTGTGAGCCAGTCAGAGAAACTAGAGATTTAATGTGATACTCAGCAGGGGCCGGACACGTCTGTCACTGTGAGCCAGTCAGAGAAACTAGAGATTTAATGTGATACTCGGCAAGGGCCGGACACGTCTGTCACTGTGAGCTAGTCAGGGAAACTAGAGATTTAATGTGATACTCGGCAGGGGCCGGACACGTCTGTCACTGTGAGCCAGTCAGAGAAACTAGAGATTTAATGTGATACTCAGCAGGGGCCGGACACGTCTGTCACTGTGAGCCAGTCAGAGAAACTAGAGATTTAATTTGATACTCAGCAGGGGCCGGACACGTCTGTCACTGTGAGCCAGTCAGAGAAACTAGAGATTTAATGTGATACTCAGCAGGGGCCGGACACGTCTGTCACTGTGAGCCAGTCAGAGAAACTAGAGATTTAATGTGATACTCAGCAGGGGCCGGACACGTCTGTCACTGTGAGCCAGTCAGAGAAACTAGAGATTTAATGTGATACTGCAGGGGCCGGGCCGTCTGTCACTGTGAGCCAGTCAGAGAAACTAGAGATTTAATGTGATACTCAGCAAGGGCCGGACACGTCTGTCACTGTGAGCCAGTCAGAGAAACTAGAGATTTAATGTGATAATCTGTAGGGGCCGGACACGTCTGTCACTGTGAGCCAGTCAGAGAAACTAGAGATTTAATGTGATACTCAGCAGGGGCCGGACACGTCTGTCACTGTGAGCCAGTCAGAGAAACTAGAGATTTAATTTGATACTCAGCAGGGGCCGGACACGTCTGTCACTGTGAGCCAGTCAGAGAAACTAGAGATTTAATGTGATAATCTGCAGGGGCCGGACACGTCTGTCACTGTGAGCTAGTCAGGGAAACTAGAGATTTAATGTGATACTCGGCAAGGGCCGGACACGTCTGTCACTGTGAGCCAGTCAGAGAAACTAGAGATTTAATGTGATACTCAGCAGGGGCCGGACACGTCTGTCACTGTGAGCCAGTCAGAGAAACTAGAGATTTAATGTGATACTCGGCAAGGGCCGGACACGTCTGTCACTGTGAGCTAGTCAGAGAAACTAGAGATTTAATGTGATACTCGGCAGGGGCCGGACACGTCTGTCACTGTGAGCCAGTCAGAGAAACTAGAGATTTAATGTGATACTCAGCAGGGGCCGGACACGTCTGTCACTGTGAGCCAGTCAGAGAAACTAGAGATTTAATTTGATACTCAGCAGGGGCCGGACACGTCTGTCACTGTGAGCCAGTCAGAGAAACTAGAGATTTAATGTGATACTCAGCAGGGGCCGGACACGTCTGTCACTGTGAGCCAGTCAGAGAAACTAGAGATTTAATGTGATACTCAGCAGGGGCCGGACACGTCTGTCACTGTGAGCCAGTCAGAGAAACTAGAGATTTAATGTGATACTCAGCAGGGGCCGGACACGTCTGTCACTGTGAGCCAGTCAGAGAAACTAGAGATTTAATGTGATACTCGGCAAGGGCCGGACACGTCTGTCACTGTGAGCTAGTCAGGGAAACTAGAGATTTAATGTGATACTCGGCAAGGGCCGGACACGTCTGTCACTATGAGCCAGTCAGAGAAACTAGCTATTTAATGTGATAATGCCCATTAAAAATATAAAATATTTAAATTCTCACACAGCTTTAGGCAATGTGTAATAAAGAGAAATGAATACAGAAACTGAGCTCTCGTTAAAGTGTTTGGATTTATTTAAGAGAATAGTAAATGGGATTAAGAGTTTAATAATTCTTTATGGTCCAGCTACAAGGCGGCATTATATAGAAAGCGTCCTATCACTTAGGGAGTGAGATATGAAATCATTCTTTGTATTCTTACCAATTATAATATTATTTATCATATTGTTATAGAAGGTAACCAAGCACGGGATGAGAATGTTCTGGTTCTCCTCACACTGGACTTACCAGGAAAAACTGGACTTGTCCTACAAGGTAAAACTGAGGGGATCTGCTGCCACACCACTCACACTGTACCCCTGTATCCCCAGATTTCATCACACTTACCAGAGAGCTCATACCACAGTAAATTGCTACTGCAAAACGCCACATGTTTAACCCCGTCCAGTGCTTCAGCCACGGTCATCGGTAGTCATTTTAAGGTAATGCCTCCAAGATTTTCAGATTAGTATGCATGGATGGTCTGTGGTTGGTGGAGCAGTTAGTTGTTGTAGTAGTTAGTTGGTGATGCAGCTGATGGAGCAGTTGGTTGGTGGAATAGTTGGTTGGTGGAATAGTTGGTTGGTGGAATAGTTAGTTGGTGGAGGAGTTAATTGGTGTGTGAGGTTGGTGGCGTAGTTAGTTGGTGAATCAATTAGTTGGTGGAGTAGTTAGTTGGAAGTGCAGTTGGTGGAGTTGGCACATATACCAGGGTGAATGGAGCTTGCCATAGAGGAATGCGACAGTAAGTCAATTAATTGAATATTCCCACCCAGATCCCTTCAAAGAATACTCTCGCCACGATCAGTTCATAGAATACTTCCACCAGGATTGCTTCAAAGAATACTCCCACCAGGATCAGTCCCTTTATTGAGTTCAGGCTGAGATCCCTTTACTGAGAGCAGGCTGAGATCCCTTTACTGAGAGCAGGCTGAGATCCCTTTATTGAGTGTAGGCTGGTATCCTTTTGTTGAGTGCAGGCTGGAATCCTTGTATTGGGTGCAGGTTTCATTGAGTGCAGGCTGGGATCCTTGTATTGAGTGCAAGGTGGGATCCTTGTATTGAGTACAAGCTGGGATCCTTGTATTGAGTGCAAGCTGGGATCCTTGTATTGAGTGCAAGCTGGGATCCTTGTATTGAGTGAAGGCTAGGATCCTTGTATTGAGTGAAGGCTGGGATCCTTGTATTGAGTGCAGACTGGGATCTTTTCATTGAGTGAAGGCTAGGATCCTTGTATTGAGTGCAGGATGGGATCTTTGTATTGAGTGCAGGATGGGATCCTTGTATTGAGTGCAGGATGGGATCCTTGTATTGAGTGCAGAGTGGGATCTTTTCATTGAGTGAAGGCTAGGATCCTTGTATTGAGTGCAGGCTGGGATCTTTGTAATGAGTGCAGGATGGGATCCTTGTATTGAGTGCAGGCTGGGATCCTTGTATTGAGTGCAGGATGGGATCTTTGTATTGAGTGCAGGATGGGATCCTTGTATTGAGTGCAGACTGGGATCTTTTCATTGAGTGCAGGCTAGGATCCTTGTATTGAGTGCAGGCTGGGATCCTTGTATTGAGTGCAGGCTGGGATCCTTGTATTGAGTGCAGGCTGGGATCTTTGTAATGAGTGCAGGATGGGATCCTTGTATTGAGTGCAAGCTCTGACGAGCTCACACACAGGGAATAAAGTCAGAGCAGAGCAGTCAGTTCCCCAATCAGCCTGACAAGTACCTCCTCTGTACTGTATTGGCTGGCTGTGATCCTAATGTACAGTGTCAGAGGAGGGAGAGCACTGAGTATACTGACAGCAGCTGTATCATAGAATGAGCTAAACCAGGAGACCCTCTGCACATAAATATTTTGTATAATAATCTGATGGCAGGATACAGTATAAACTGCTGGAATCCCTCATAAACCCTAGTCACAGCTTAGTCTTAACTTTCCAATCTATTCCTGGTAAAAAATAAACAGAGAATAATGCCTGAAATCTGGTATGGGGGAACCCTGCATGAAATCAGGTATAGAGTAACCCTGCATGAAATCAGGTATAGAGTAACCCGGCATTAATCCGATATAGAGTAACCCGGCATTAATCAGGTATAGAGTAACCCGGCATTAATCAGATATAGAGTAACCCGGCATTAATCAGATATAGAGTAACCCGGCATTAATCAGGTATAGAGTAACCCGGCATTAATCAGATATAGAGTAACCCGGCATTAATCAGGTATAGAGTAACCCGACATTAATCAGGTATAGAGTAACCCGGCATTAATCGGATATAGAGTAACCCGGCATTAATCAGGTATAGAGTAACCCGGCATTAATCAGGTATAGAGTAACCCTGCATTAATCAGATATAGAGTAACCCGGCATTAATCAGATATAGAGTAACCCGGCATTAATCAGATATAGAGTAACCCGGCATTAATCCGATATAGAGTAACCCGGCATTAATCCGATATAGAGTAACCCTGCATTAATCAGATATAGAGTAACCCGGCATTAATCAGATATAGAGTAACCCGGCATTAATCCGATATAGAGTAACCCGGCATTAATCCGATATAGAGTAACCCTGCATTAATCAGATATAGAGTAACCCGGCATTAATCCGATATAGAGTAACCCGGCATTAATCAGGTATAGAGTAACCCGGCATTAATCCGATATAGAGTAACCCTGCATTAATCAGATATAGAGTAACCCGGCATTAATCAGATATAGAGTAACCCGACATTAATCAGGTATAGAGTAACCCAGCATTAATCAGGTATAGAGTAACCCAGCATTAATCAGGTATAGAGTAACCCAGCATTAATCAGGTATAGAGTAACCCAGCATTAATCAGATATAGAGTAACCCGGCATTAATCAGATATAGAGTAACCCGGCATTAATCAGGTATAGAGTAACCCGGCATTAATCAGATATAGAGTAACCCGGCATTAATCAGATATAGAGTAACCCGGCATTAATCAGATATAGAGTAACCCGGCATTAATCAGATATAGAGTAACCCGGCATTAATCAGATATAGAGTAACCCGGCATTAATCAGGTATAGAGTAACCCGGCATTAATCAGGTATAGAGTAACCCGGCATTAATCAGGTATAGAGTAACCCGGCATTAATCAGGTATAGAGTAACCCGGCATTAATCAGATATAGAGTAACCCGGCATTAATCAGATATAGAGTAACCCGGCATTAATCAGATATAGAGTAACCCAGAATTAATCAGGTATAGAGTAACCCAGCATTAATCAGGTATAGAGTAACCCGGCATTAATCAGGTATAGAGTAACCTGGCATTAATCAGCTATAGAGTAACCCTGCATTAATCCGATATAGAGTAACCCGGCATTAATCCGATATAGAGTAACCCGGCATTAATCAGGTATAGAGTAACCCAGCATTAATCAGATATAGAGTAACCCGGCATTAATCAGATATAGAGTAACCCGGCATTAATCAGATATAGATTAATCAGATATAGAGTAACCCGGCATTAATCAGATATAGAGTAACCCGGCATTAATCAGATATAGAGTAACCCGGCATTAATCAGATATAGAGTAACCCGGCATTAATCAGATATAGAGTAACCCGGCATTAATCAGATATAGAGTAACCCGGCATTAATCAGATATAGAGTAACCCGGCATTAATCAGGTATAGAGTAACCCGGCATTAATCAGGTATAGAGTAACCCGGCATTAATCAGATATAGAGTAACCCGGCATTAATCCGATATAGAGTAACCCGGCATTAATCAGGTATAGAGTAACCCGGCATTAATCAGGTATAGAGTAACCCGGCATTAATCAGGTATAGAGTAACTCGGCATTAATCAGATATAGAGTAACCCGGCATTAATCAGGTATAGAGTAACTCGGCATTAATCAGATATAGAGTAACCCCAGCATTAATCGGCATAGAGTGCAACCCAGCATTAATCAGGCATAGAGTAACCCGCATTAATCAGGCATAGAGGAACCCAGCATTAATCAGTATAGGTATAGAGTAACCCTGCATGAAATCAGGTATAGAGTAACCCGGCATTAATCCGATATAGAGTAACCCGGCATTAATCAGGTATAGAGTAACCCGGCATTAATCAGATATAGAGTAACCCGGCATTAATCAGATATAGAGTAACCCGGCATTAATCAGGTATAGAGTAACCCGGCATTAATCAGATATAGAGTAACCCGGCATTAATCAGGTATAGAGTAACCCGACATTAATCAGGTATAGAGTAACCCGGCATTAATCGGATATAGAGTAACCCGGCATTAATCAGGTATAGAGTAACCCGGCATTAATCAGGTATAGAGTAACCCTGCATTAATCAGATATAGAGTAACCCGGCATTAATCAGATATAGAGTAACCCGGCATTAATCAGATATAGAGTAACCCGGCATTAATCAGATATAGAGTAACCCGGCATTAATCCGATATAGAGTAACCCGGCATTAATCAGGTATAGAGTAACCCAGCATTAATCGGATATAGAGTAACCCGGCATTAATCAGGTATAGAGTAACCCGGCATTAATCAGGTATAGAGTAACCCGGCATTAATCAGGTATAGAGTAACCCGGCATTAATCAGATATAGAGTAACCCGGCATTAATCAGGTATAGAGTAACCCAGCATTAATCAGGTATAGAGTAACCCGGCATTAATCAGATATAGAGTAACCCGGCATTAATCAGGTATAGAGTAACCCGGCATTAATCAGATATAGAGTAACCCGGCATTAATCAGATATAGAGTAACCCGGCATTAATCAGGTATAGAGTAACCCGGCATTAATCAGGTATAGAGTAACCAGGCATTAATCCGATATAGAGTAACCCGGCATTAATCAGGTATAGAGTAACCCGGCATTAATCAGATATAGAGTAACCCGGCATTAATCAGATATAGAGTAACCCGGCATTAATCAGATATAGAGTAACCCGGCATTAATCAGATATAGAGTAACCCGGCATTAATCAGATATAGAGTAACCCGGCATTAATCAGATATAGAGTAACCCGGCATTAATCAGATATAGAGTAACCCGGCATTAATCAGATATAGAGTAACCCGGCATTAATCAGGTATAGAGTAACCCGGCATTAATCAGGTATAGAGTAACCCGGCATTAATCAGGTATAGAGTAACCCGGCATTAATCAGATATAGAGTAACCCGGCATTAATCAGGTATAGAGTAACCCGGCATTAATCAGATATAGAGTAACCCGACATTAATCAGGTATAGAGTAACCCAGCATTAATCAGGTATAGAGTAACCCAGCATTAATCAGGTATAGAGTAACCCAGCATTAATCAGGTATAGAGTAACCCAGCATTAATCAGATATAGAGTAACCCGGCATTAATCAGATATAGAGTA